CTTCTTAGGTATAAGATCTATTAAAAAAGGCGCAACGCCACCAACGTGCAAAAGTCGATGTTTTTGCTTTAAATCAAGCATCAACGGTCTACACAACCTGCAATATATATTTGTAAGTGACATTATCATCATAAAATTAATGACCTTAATGACTTTACAAAATACGTTTCCATACGTTGTATAAAAAATAATCGAAGATAATTAAAATGGGACGGAGGCGGGGAGCTGACGGAGGGGGGGGGAGCAAAATGTCTATACGAATTGATGAGAGATGTTACTTCACTTTATATCCAAATTTTCCCATTTTCTCCTCAATTACAATGGGTTAGGAATTGATAACAAGTTGTATTCGTAGTTAGATTTATTTAGGATTATCAAAATCTTGGAAGAGAGCGTTTAACTTTTTATGTGTATAATAGTTTTTATTTTTTGAAGACTTATCATAAAAATGTAGACATCGCATCATATTTCTATTTGGACATGCAAGTTTTCGAGTAAGCAGTTACTAAAGTTGTTTCATTATTAACCTCGCTAACAGATATCTAGTATATGTTAATATTTTTGATTATATTGGTCTTCAGCAGATGTAGAATTTAGACTAAATAATCTGCCAGGAAGTTTCCCAATTAGTGTACCCAATTATACCATGGGCACATCACCTATTACGCCAAATACTGTACTGTACTTTGCATATATTTAATGGGAAAATCTGGATATAAAGTATCAAGTAACATCTCATATCATATCTTATACACATATTGCTCCCCCCCCCTCCGTCCTCCCCCCCCCTCCTTCCCATTTTAATTATATTGATTTTTTTTTTAAACGTATGGAAACATATTTTGTAAAGTCATTAAGGTCATTAATTTTATGATGATAATGTCACTTACAAATATTTATTGCAGGTTGTGTAGACCGTTGATGCTTGATTTAAAGCAAAAACATTGACTTTTGCACGTTGGTGGCGTTGCGCCTTTTTTAATAGATCTTATACCTAAGAAGAGAATCGGCTAAAAAAATTCGTAGAATACGTGACATATTTTACCATACCGTGCGCCTATTCGTTTAGCAATTAAATCATAAACCTTTTCTTGAAAAAATATTTTTTGCAGATTTGTTCATTTTTCGACCAGAAATTGCTTGCCCCCCGCCCCCCCCCCCCCCCCCCCTCCGTCCCATTTTCACGATCACCGGGTGTGATTATAGTCACCCGTGTGTATCTAAAAACAGGCTTATTCTCGCGAGCAAAGGTCAAATGATTCAGGTTGGTCGCTATCGTGATACATCAACTTCTAGATAGCTCTTTATCTTCAAGCTCTTTGTCTTCCTCATTCTCTCCATCTTCAAGTTCCATATTTACCTGAACCACCTGCAAGATCCATATTTTTCAGCAAGTTTAAAATGACCCGGAAGTACACAACAGAGGTAGAACCGCGAGCAACAAACAAGTTCAAAAGCGTGTGTAGATTTGAACCAATATACCAATTCGCGATAACGTTTAATTTAGTTCAGTTTAGCTAACTCCCGTTTGAAGAGCTCTCATGTATGATACAACTTCGTCTACATCCGGGTTCTTTCCCATTTGATTACACAGGGGTGCTTTTTTCAATACCCCACTGCGACTCTATTAAACATTTATGTAGAGTTTCATTTGCACCAACGATAGGTATGTATGTTGTTAAGATATTTGACAAAGCTTTTTGAACTATAATCCCCAAATTCGAAAAAATCTGTAGGAGAAAATGCCGTCCAATTCCAGTGACGTCACTGATATCCCAGAAATTGCTCAGGCGCCATCGAAGATCGAAAAAATATAAATAATGTTACTTTGAATCTCCGATTATCTTTCTGATTATCAAACAAATTTTCATTGGCCCGGCGAACGAGTCGATTACTCAGAACGTTTCTCAGCTTCTGATCTTCCATCAGCCCCCAAGCATAGTTATATAATCCAATCTATTCAATAATCAGGAAGATAATCGGAGATTCAAAGTACTATTATTTATATTTTTTGATCTTCGATGGCGTCTGAGCAATTTTATGGAAATCAGTGACGTCACTGGAATTGGACGGCATTTTCAACTACAGATTTCTTCGGATCTGGGGATTATACTTGTAGTTCAAAAAGCCTCGTTATATATCTTAATAACATACATATCTATCGTTTGTGCAAAAGAAACTCAACACAAATGTTAAATAGAGTCGCAGTGCGGCATTGAAAATAGCAACCTTGTGTAATCCAATGGGAAAGGACCCGGATGTAGACGAAGTTGTACCATTCATGAGAGCTCTTCAAACGAGTGGTAAATAAACTGAACTAAATTAAACGCTATCGCGTATTGGTATATTAATGACTGTTCATGTAATACTACAGTAGAACCTGTATATCTGAACACCTGGCTAATCCGAACACCTTCCAATTTGAATACTTTTTTCTGTCCCATTTTTTCCTCCCATTGACTCCCATGATAAATAAACCTTGAAATCTGAACACCTCCTAATCTGAACAGTGAACAACCAGATATGAAAAAGTGACCTGTCTAATCTGAACATTTTTATCAGAAATCAAATGTCTGGACATTTCCATAATAGCCACATATTGATTCAATGTTATAGTTGTTATTTATCTTTACATATACAACAATGTAATCAAAGAACCAATATTGTCTTAATTAACTTAATATTTAGTCTCAGTGACATCCTTTATTTGTGGAAAACAACAGGATGATTTGGAAAGGTGTGAATACAGGAGTTAATTGGTTTATCCTATTAGAAAAGAACTGAATGTTTTGTTTAGATTAAGAGAAAGGTGTGAATCAAGGAGATAATTGATTTATCATTATGAAAAATTACCTGGATGTTTTTGATTTGGATTAAGAGAAAGGTGAGAATGTTGGAGATAATCGGTTTATCCCTATTGAAAATTAACTGGATGTTTTTGATTTGGATTATGAACAGGTCTTAGATGTTTTATATCCCATGGGTCTGTTATGATAGCTAAGATTTAATCAGCAAATGTTTTATAATCACAAAGACAAGACAGACACAATTGCAGACAAGATTATATCATGAGAAAGAGAAAAAAAAATTCAACTTCAAAATATCCTATCACTAAAATGCCTCCTAAAAAGGGATACATTTGACATCCTGAATCCCCTTGATATTTTGGAGGATTATACATCATCTCGAATGAACACTTATGAAAAATGTTTTTACTTGAAGAGGATATTTACTCGCTAATGCTTAAAGTGCCAAAAAACAAACAACAATGAAGGACTTTTTCAAGCAAAAGTAAAGCAGTGCTATATAACCATTATATGGGATAAGTCATTTGAGAAGCATAAGATTTCCTACGAGACTATCATATACTTATACTGTTAGTGTATTACAAAGTTTTTGCCAAAATATAAGTTATTTTTACTAAAATAATGAAATTGTTCAAAATGTAAATAAAAATAGCATATAGGCTATAGCCCTATTGTAGAATAAACTCATCAACAACATGTATTGTTTTCTGATTTAGTATTAAGTGTTCTATGAGTGGACTGAACAATTAACCCCCCCCCCCCCCCCCCGATCAACAATCTCCTTGAAATTTGAACACCTGCCAATTTGAACGCTTTTGGCTGGTTTCATAGGTGTTTGGATTAGACAGGTTTTACTGTACTATGTCACCCAAAACCACAAGGGAATTTATTCTTTCACAAAAAATCAAACGGGAGTGATGATTTCCGTGGTGTTATATCTCTAGTAATGGTTCAAGTCAGTGCAGTGCAATTATACTGCCCAGTTTTTATTGTCTCTGGACAAATGTAAGTAGATGACATAGTTCCCCTGGACATATGTAACTAGAAAAATAAGGATAAGTTGTCTCGGGGACAGAGGCAACCAGAAAATAATGCCATGTACATCTAGAGAATTCAGAATAAGTTGTCTTATGGACAGAATTAACTAGAAATTACAGTCTTCTGGGCATGCATTAATATTAAAACTAATCTCATGATCGAAATCGAGGAAACGAATAGTTCCATTTTATGCAGAATATGGTAGAGAAAAAAAGGATAGAGTGGGAGTCGATCCACACCATGGGCAACAGCAAGAAGACTGTTCTAACCACTATACTAACGGTGATTGGATGCAAGCAGTGTTTTTTAATTCATTGAAAAGATATCAAATAAGTATATATTACAGTACTACTATAGTACGACATCTATACATTTAAAAATAAATTTAACAGATAGGACCAAAATCTAGCCGGACTATCCAATCTGGACTATTGTCAACGTATTTATAGTCCGTCAGTATATATAGTCCTGTGTTATATTGTTTACCAATACAGAAAATATGGTCCGGTTAAGACCACACACCCTGCATACCAGATCCGGAGGACCTGGTGTCCTAGTGTGTATGGTCCCCCGGACCATATATACAGGGAGACACTGTATTCGATTTACCTGAACTATCATGCAGTGTACAACTCGTTCTTTGTGCTTGTTGCTTGATCACACCCCTTAATGTATCCGTTGTGCTAAAGAGAATAAAAGAGTAAAGAGTAAGAAAAAATCAATTTACCTGGACAATCATATGGTGTGCAACTCCTTCTTTGTGCTTGCTTGATCACACCCCGTTCTGTATCCGTTGTGCTAAAGAGAATACAATGTAAGGAACAATCGATTTACCTGGACAATCATATGGTGTGCAACGCCTTCTTTGTGTATGCTTGATCACACCCCTTTCTGTATCTGTTGTGCTAAAGAGAATACAATGTAATGTACAATCGATTTACCTGGACAATCATATGGTGTGCAACGCCTTCTTTGTGTATGCTTGATCACACCCCTTTCTGTATCTGTTGTGCTGAAGAGAATACAATGTAAGGAACAATCGATTTACCTGGACAATCATATGGTATTCAACTCCTTCTTTGTGCTTGCTTGATCACACATCTTGCTGTATCCATTGTGTTGAGGAAAACACAATGTATGAAACAATAAATTTACCTGAACAATCATATGGTGTGCAGCTCCTTTTTTGTGCTAACTTAATCACATTTTTCGCTGCATCCGATATGTCGCCAACATTTCCAATTGTTCTTTGTGATTGGCAAAGTTCGTAATCATTGAAGAATTGACACATAATTGCTGCCATTAAGGGTCCAAAAATGACGTTTACTATTCCAACTGCCACTGCATTGTTTGTTGAGGGAAACATCACAAGAAGAATGCATGGTAATAATATATTTAAAACATTCATCTGGAATCACAAAATAATAGCAAGTGAGTCACTCTGTCAAGCCTGTACTTACATGATGAATATGTTGGTAAAAAATGTAATGTCCTGACATTTTTGTCCAACCAGATAAACTAAGTAAGTTAGATAGTTGCCTTACGTTGCAAACATAACATCATAACCAACATGTGACATAATCTATTGGGCTGGTATTTTACAAAATTGCATTAAAAAACCTCAGATAGTCTGAAACTAAATTAATAAGAATAACCAACATGTGACATAATCTATTGAGCTGGTCTTTCACAAATAAAAATTGCATTAAAAACCCTCAGATAGTCTGAAACTAATTTAATAACATCATAAAAACATGTGGCATAATCTATTTGGCTGGTTCTTTACAAAATTGCATTAAAAACCCTCAGATAGCCTGAAACTAAATTAATAAGAATAACCAACATGTGACATAATCTATTGAGCTGGTCTTTCACAAAATTGCATTAAAAACCCTCAGATAGTCTGAAACTAATTTAATAACATCATAACAACATGTGGCATAATCTATTGGGCTGGTTCTTTACAAAATTACATTAAAAAACCCTCAGATAGTCTGAAACTAAATGAATAAACCAACATGCGACGTAATCTATTGGGCTGGTCTGGTCATTTCAATTTACAAGCTAAAGCTCGAGCGGGTTATGAAGACAAGAATATTTTGGAGTATTTAATCGTAGAAATTTTTCAAGTATTTCTTTAAACGTGGGACGGTCATACAGTCAGCATGTCTAAATGTGAATTCGTAATATGTATCTACAGAACGGATGTCATATGAGCTGTTTGGACTTTTCTACTGGATTTGCACCCGTGACATCAAAAACATGTGTACTCGTCGGCAATTAACAAACAGATAAATAACTTAAAATAGCTGATGGACTAACAACCGTTATCAAATATTATTGCTTACGTAGTCAAATACCACGCATGTTGTCCATCATTAACTGCTGGAATAAATTGAAGCCCATTTGCACAAGCAAATGTTGCTGAGTAGGATAATTTGCTAATACTAGCAAACGCAATAAAAGTTTCTTTCACAAATGAGTTTTTCTTGTTATTTAAATTGTTTCATCTATAAAACTAATAAAAGCTATAAAACTATTTACAATTAGAAAATGAAGTTTGCAAGCTATTAAGAGTCATGTGTTTTGTAGAATTAAATACCGATTACTTATCGATTTTTATACCGATTTCGTATAAAAAAAATTATTCTCTGCATTTTATTATTTTTTATTGCTATTTTAGAATATATATCTCAGTATATACGAGTAGATGGAATTCAATATACAGAGTATCTCAAAAACATGTTACAAGTACAAAATAGTCAATATTTTTCATAATTTTGAAATTTGACTGCACAGGGCAGATTTATGAACTCGTGTGAAATTAAATAACCAAGTCGAGTGGACCCAAACTTAAACCCCCCGGGGCCACCTGAAGACCAAGGTCTTCACAACCCTTGCAACTGATCTGAATGAACCTTATCAAAGAATAATTGATAAAGTCAGTGTGGTATGACAAGAAAGGGAGCTCATCACACATGATTGTAGGGACATGCTGAGGAAAGCGAATATTTGCGACGATAGGCACGGCGGTAAAGAATAAAAATAAATGTAGTGACCTTTCATTTTCATGGAGTAATATTAATGTAAAATTTCAATATATTTTTCACACTAGCAAAACTTTTGTGTCTAATATTAATTTACAATTCATTATATCTTATCAACCGCTTATGTGTAGGTCATTAGCTGATGACAAATTAATGATTTTAGGGTGGGAGTTTTGTGTCTACGTCCAAATGGATATCCGATTTATAGAATCATTCTAAATAAATCGTAAGTCAAACGCTGGGATTTCTTTCATCCGAAGAAAATGTATATGTATAATCATGTATAATATGTATAAGAGATAAAGGTAACCATGAATAAATGAGAACTATTGTCAATTTGGTAAAATATGATTGATATGAACCGCATTGTTAGAAAACGTTCCTGTTCAAGGTGCCCGTACCCGAAATGTACAGACATGCATATATGTACGTATATGGCGACAATACTACTGTTAATATGTGCATTCTCAGTAACAAAATACGTACTCACCTTGACAAGTTGTTTAATCCAATCCAGTCACCAAGTTATTTTGTTTTCCAATAACCAGGATTAACTAGACAAACAGCAAAAGCATAACGTAAATTATAAACAACCATACTAATATATGCATTAAATCCGAATCAACAATCATATACAATAGGATCTACTTATTACATTGATATCATTTTAAAGAAGAATGTTAAGCGTGTACATTAATGGGGAAACCACTTACAATACGGTTAATATTGATACAATTTTATTAAAGAAAAGTATGTACATTTTATTGAATATCCTCCTTACTGAATAATTAAATGGATAATTTTCAAATGTGGAGAACAAATTATTTCACTATTGTCTATTACTTAAAGTATTCGTTTACAAACTAGAGTTTCGTAATCTGTGCTATAAGGTGAAAATGACACAATATGTCTAAGGTTTCAAAACGTGATTAAGAAAAGTGTATTTAAACAAATTACCTGTTTGCGGAAGTTAACGGGTCATAGAGTTGTCTGTATATACCATTATCACCTGAATTTAGTGAATTAATGATGATTTGAACCTCTAAATCAAATGTTTCCTCACCTCCTCTGGTATTATATGTAAATGAAATATTTCCATAAGTACCTGCAACAATGGTCGGATGTTGGGCTGGTGTAAAAAGGAAAGGGATTTTTTTTTTTTACATATTATTTATTTCCTTCATAATCAAAAGATACACAAAATATATACTACCAATCGCCATAGACATTCTAGGTAGTTTAAATTACAATAGAGGATTAATTACAGTAATCATAGATGGTTTATTGGTAATGTGAGAGGTTGGGAGGGAGGGGGGGTTGTCACAAGATACAAATGAGAAAAACATTAATTTGATGGAAACTTATAACTGGCCTGTACAAATTGCATCACTATATCTATCAGGATTTTCTGAGAATCAATAGTGAGTTCATTTTCATAAATTAAGTATTTGACCTGTTCTGTCTTACTAGAAATAAGTTGAGTATCAAACAATAAATTTTGTTCACGAAGTGCAGTCATCATTTTATTACGTTCATGGGTATGGCGAGGGCAGGTTAGAATGAAATGCTTTGTGTCTTCAGTAGAGCCACAGAGGCATTTGTTGTCATTTATTCCAGTAAAATTATGAGTAAAGAAATGGAATTTAAGGGCAAAATCAACTCGAAGCCTATTTAGCAGTTTTTCGTTGGTTCTACTTAAATTTAGTTTTGTAGTTGGTATGAAGTTTGAAATGGGGATAAATATCTGTTTAATAGAGCTTTTGAATCTAGAAATGGTTTGAATTTCACGAAAAGTCTGGCTTAGTTGGTTCCAATCATTTATAAGTTGTAAAACTGGTGCTTTGGAGAGTCTCGTTGAAATATTTCTTGGGCAGGAAAAGGGTAAAGAGTGTCTTAAAATTCTAGTTGCTTGGTTGCGATGTTGGTCAAAAAGACTATGGACATAATAAGGCACTTCCTTTCTTACAATTTTGAACATCAGTCTTAGATTTTTTTCGTGTCTTTTGTCAGTAAGCGATTTCCACTGTAAACATTTTAAAGTTTTTGAGGTGTTAGAGCCATGCAGTACCCCAGCACATATAACAGCAGCTTGGTAGTGGATTTTATCAAGCTTTGACAAGGATGACGATCCGTAAATGGAGCTAAAAGGGATTAGAAACATTAATAGAGAGCTTTCGATACAAATTATTTGGTATACGTTTACACTAACGTGTACTTGTACAAGTCAGGCATAGCATTGGGAGGAACTCTGGAAACGAAGATAGGGTGCTTCCATCCTTCAAATCACAACAAAATATTTGGCAAGTACGAAGTTCGTGAGTTCAAAATATGATTACAACTTAGAAATTAATTCTGCCATTGCTGGGCTTTTCACAAATCGATTCCCTCGATTAGTAAAGCTTCCTTCCCAGTGGTGTTTACGTCATTTATAAGTTAAAGTTACAGGCTACGTTGAAAACGTATATCGAAATCTCTCTATTGTACAATATTTGTAATTGTATGATACATTATGGGGTATTATCAAAATCTGGGGCATACTGCATGTTAACTGTGTGACTATCGCGTCCTGGGGTTTTGAAGCTTAATATTCAAAAACTCTGCATAACACTATTTTAATTTACTACGGCGGTCCGACAGAAATCAGCGGATGATATAAGGAAAGTGATTACTCCTGAATTATGCTGAATATAACTAAGAAGATACATGCATCTTAAGTTTAGCTAAGGGAATTTGTACTTACTGTTTTGTTAGCATATGAAATATGACCGTTGACTTGGACTGTAAATAGATGGCATCGAACGTCTCAAAGATGAAAGAATAGAACTACACAATAGAAATTGATTAATATCCTTTTAATAAATCAATATTTAAACAAACCTTAACAGAAAATTACCGATTAGTGATCTCCTCTCTACACGAGTATGTCTTTATTTACATTAGGTAACAGTATATTGCATTGAGATATCCTTTATAATGCTACAGTACAACCTACATACTGGCAAGATAACCCTCTGAAAAATTGTCATTTCTTAAACCTTCTTTAGGAAATGTTCATAAATTACCTATAATAAATTATTATTAAAAATTTTGTGAAATAAAGAACGACACTAAAATTATTTGATGCATAATACAAACACTCCCATGATGTTCATATGTATTAATGTGTTTGTTTATTCCATACTATGATATTTGTACGTTTAACGTATATAAAACAAAGGACTAGTGACAAAAAGTTTCGTACATAATGTTAAGAATTCCTAGGTCCATTCTTCTTCACTTTGACGTCATTATATCAAAGGTGACAACAATTGATTTCGGAATATTTAACTTTATAAAGTTTGTGTTAATCAAATAGTAAAAGAATTATGTCTTTAACAGCTGAGAGAATTTGAGCAGATGTATTAAACACTGTGAAAAGTGTGCATTCATCATCTTTAGTATATTGTATGTGAAAAAACACCGGGTTTATGTCAAAGATAGCTGCCCGCTAATCACATTCAACTGCAGTTGGATTTGGGCAACACCAAATCAGGTCTGTTATTATTGTACAAAAATCAGGTCTGTATTCTTCTTCCTTGTACAAAAATTGCACATACTGATATTTAATCTTCATAACATTCCAAAACGGGCTTCTTGGACAGTTTCTTGTCATTTTAACCAATTAAATTGCAACATTGCACATTCAGTTTTAGCAGGACACTTTAGATAGATCCTGTTTTTCAATTTAGGAGGGAAAATAATTCAAACTGATAATCAAACTGCAATTGTTTGTACAGTCATTGGAAAAATAATTTTGTTGAAAATAAAATGGTCTAATGGAAATTTGATGAAAAAGCATTACGTTCAGACACTCAATAAATGTGTCAACTTGAAATATACCTATCAATATTAACACTCCATTGGAATATATGATAGTTGCTTTAAGATATCAGGCACACCATCCCTTGTATGTATGTACAGCATTTAATGTTAAGCTAGGTTATAGTGTCTAGTATTATTGAAGGTTCCCAGTCATTTTGTGCTGTCGTTGTCAAGGTACAACCTCGTATTCTTATGGAGATGTCATACTTCTTGTTTCTGTTTCTCGGCTTCCTCTTCATTCCGCAAGAACTGACACTCACCCTCTTCTATAATGTGTAACACACAATATGAGAATTCCTATCAATACCCATGTTTTACTATGCAACACCTATATGCTGCAATTATAGTGTAACGAATTGAAGTTATTCTGAGGAAAATAGTATTACAATTGTAGTTCTTATTGAGGTCAATCGAATTGACAAATTGATTCATACTCGTAGTACTAATGATAGAATACCTTGATGATCACAATGCAGACTTTTCTTGCAAAGTGTTACCAAAACACATTCATTTCCTCTTCATTGTAACATCGATAGGGTAAACATATAAACATATAACTTCAGAGAATGTGATAATCATAATTGGACAAATATTTTTTCTTAATTTTCACTTACCAAATATACAGAGCTGCGTTAAAATATGGAACCTTGCAAATATCAAGTGATCAAATGTTATGTTTGGCTGAGTCATGTCAATGAAATGACACTCATGAGGATCACTAGACACTGGGATCCACTCTTCCTCTCTTCCTTTTGTAGCACCTCCTCTGTTTGGTAGGCCTATAAAAGTAACATTACATCAAATGGTGAATGTCGATCTACGAGGGTCGTCCGACAAATATTACACATTATGCTCTCATGTTAATGCAAGGCAGGTACAAGTAGTAATCAAATATCAAGAATTTCATTTTTATGGCTTTTAATGTTACAATAAATATAATATTCAAAGGCGCAAAATAGTCTAGTCGTATATTCCACCACAACAGACAGATATGACACCATTATAAATTTTAGCTAACGATTTTATGAGATTGTCTACGTTTTGTGTTAAAATGTTTTCCTCTATGTGCACATACCTATTATGGACACAGAAGCAAAATCATTAACACAAATTGATGAAAAATTTTAATATATACCTATGGAGAATATTTCTGCACCTTCCTCTTTGGCTAACCTGGCCTGCTCAACTGTGAGTGGAGAATTGTGTCTGAAATAATAAGGCAGAGTACGAATTCTAAGTTAGCAATAAACGATATGTGGTTCAATCCCATATAACATTAATGGTTTCTGAATAGTAGAAGAAGGAGTGTTAAACATGGTTTCTTTGTATGTCATTTTAAAGACACGTACACCCGTAACAGAAATACCACATTTGACATTTGTATAACTTATAGCTATGCTCTTTTATGCCATTTGGCAATTATTTTTCATCTGTATTTTCTTTCGTTATTTGATTATTTCCACATTTGATATTGCGTGATATATTCTTTCTATTCCTCGTTAATTGCGGGCACTTGTATTTTTCTGATATTTCAATGACTTACTTTGCTGGGAAACCACCTACGTTGTCCTTTAATAACCAAGTTTGACCATCAGTGGCAATAACTATAACCTGCTTTGCAGTTTCTCTCCTATCACTGTCGTTCAACATTTTCCGGGCCTTGGCAAGAGCTTCATGAGTATGAGTAGCGCTATAATAAAATTGTAGAACAACTACAGAAACGGGTGATCGCGATTTTCGTCGATAAACAGATGGAGGTACTAAAGGCCATGTCTTTTTATTTAGGATTTACAACGGTTATTCTTTTAAGTAAAAATCTACTGAAATACTCGTAAATTGATTCACCAACGCATGGATAGAGCCCCTTCTTGTGAGTATTACTTACAGCGCATTTGAACTTGGGATCTCATCAATCCTGGCCAGCACCTCGACCTTGCTAAGTGCTTCATTGACATCCGAATGTACGTAGACAATCTGATTATATGAGATGATACCAACGCGTATATGGTCGCTGTCAACCTGAAGATTCTTGACCATATTGCTGAGGAATTTGATGGTGCGCTTAATATCAGAAAACTGGATGCTGTTGGATCGATCGATAATCAAAACGAGGTCAATCTTTCCGCATTGTGGAGGTTTTTCTGTTAATTAACATAAAAAGAGATAACTGGTAAATCATTATTCCGATGTCTGTGTGTGCACCGTCAACAAGAATATTTTCGATCATACATGTTGCTAAAGACTTTGATTTTACATTTTACATCAGATACCCCATGCTGTCACCAATCAATCTGAACACACTGTAGAGGTTAGCTCAAATAAATCCAAGAAAATACAACGATACCATGGAATATCGTATTAATCTAGAAGTGAATAGCAATATAGATCCACGAGTTCTTGAAGAAATATAGACTTCAATCGTATGACCGTTACATCATGAATATCAATTGATATAATTTTAAGATGATGTATCTGTTAACATTCTAAAGGCATATATCAAAATTACAAGATAACACATTTCAATGAAAGAATATCGCTTACAAAAAGTGTAAAATATTTGAAGTGAAACAAAATAGTTCTTATTCAAAGTAAAATAATCGGTATATTTGAGTTTATATTTTGAGAAATTACGTACGTGTGCAATCAGGTATCGCCTCACAGTAATCGGTCAGAAATGTTGAAGCTTTAAAATCCTTTGTGAGACTCATGGGTTCAGGGTGTTGTAGGTCTTTAAGAACACCGGGATTGTTCAATGCGTTCCATTCCACATCTCCTTTTATGGAGCCTTTTTGGTTTTTATATTTTATAACAAATGTTTGAATATTTTTTTCATGGCTTTCTTTTGCTTTCTTGAGTGTGTTATTTCTTTCCTCAGCTAGATTGAATCTGTAATTAATTGAATATGTTATTAAATAAGTATTGCATATATTAACTAATTCAGTGCATACTATTGCAAACTCAACTTTGTACATAATGTTCAATTTTCAGTTATAGTTTGTCTAAACAAATGCAAAGTACCAACATGGTCTTTGTACTTGTTTTTCTATTCAGTATGAAATTTTGATTTTTTCACCATATTATCTAACAGGGATATCAAACCTTGGAGAAGAGGAAAATGGAAAGTAACAATGCATGCAGTATACAGTGGGCTCGGTTCCTGCCATTAATTTCAATCTCATTATTTCTCATTTTGATGCAATCCCTTAAAAATGGATGTACTTGTATATAGCTGGAACTTTTCTAGACAAGTAAGTTAAGTTAAGTGTGTCTTTGGCTGTTTTGTTTTTAAAGTATAAGTGTTCAATATGTCCTCCTCGTTCCTCCACGACCAGTTTTAGTCTATACGTATATGACACCATTTATTCATCGCCGAGCCAATTGATTGTTGGCTTTGTTGTGATAATTTTCTCAACATAAAGTTATTATTTGTTTGGGTTCTTAAACGGAATGGATGGGAACACGATGTACATGTTTTTTTCTAGTTCACCCCACACAAAATTGAGATTAATCAGGGCTATTTGGAGGCCATTCGTCAGAGGGATGACGGATGAAATCTGTTGCATTAGCATTCAAGAAATCCAAAGTCGCTCGAGACGTGTGTGAGGTAGCACCATCTCGTTTTCCTTGGTCCGAGGAAGTATGTTCCCAACCTTTAATTCGTACGTGCTGAAATGGGATTGATTACCCCCGAAAATTAATCATTGCGTAATTTTTAACCAGTTCAGAATTTTAAAATGTTTAATTCATAAACAATCAATGAGAATCATGTCAAAATCTGAAACACCCCAGAAGACAAGACACGATGAGAAATATTGATCATCACTAAATGTTAGAATGTAAAGAGAAGAAAATAAAAACGTTTTACAACATACATGGACAAAATAGTGATGTATTGGACATTTACCGAAAGATACCGAAGTATTGGCTGCAAGTATGAGCAAATCTTTCAAGTGAATCGAATGTTAGAATTATGGTTCAAACTTTTATTTATTTGATTTTATGATCTAAATTATCAAACCTTGTATCGAATGAGACCCCATCGGTGTATATGATCATTACATCTTGCAGTGTGTTCTTTGTTCTGTTAAACTCCTCCCAGCATTTTTGAATCGCGTCTTTAGTGTTCGATTTGCAATCTTCACATTCTTCATCCTTTTTTGGTTTGAATTTCCTCAAAAGTGCTCCTTTTACTCTTTTGCCTTGTAGACGTCTTATTTTTGGCTGAAAATGATATTCGAAAAAGTTAAAACATTTGCTGAAATTGAGAAATTGTTGACTTAGAATGTCTGAGAATGACAAAATATGTGTATATGAATGTCTTAAACAGGGTCCATAGACCTAACATAGGACGATGTATAAAGTAACTGGACATAAAATGATAGACATTAAAATTCATCAGGGGGAGTTCTTACTTGGACTTTCGCCTTGTCGGAATATATGACAGTGCTTATCATCGCAGCATTATTAATTGTCTTTATAAGGCCTTTAGCATGTTCATATGCCCACTTGACTTCTGAATAACTCACTGTGCATGACTTCTGGATTGCGATACACAGGTTAATTGGAGCAATTTTTGGCTTATCTAAAACATTAAAATAAATCATGAAATAATGAACCATATCCTTTATTTTGGTTATCAAAACTTAGAAATTATTTTAAGTAACCCAATATATTATCATCACTTGTTCTACAGAATATACACACTTTGTAATAAATGTTACCACATTAAATGAACTAGTATACAGGTCTCTCTGCATTTAGAACTCCAAAATAAGAAGTTCCATTTTTGAACCACTCTGTGAAGAAAATAGGATATACCAAATCAATTATAAGTAATTTTACCTGTGCAGCTGTAAGGACTACAAATGTTTTGTTGGGCACGTCCTCTTACTAAAACATTTCTAATTGCATCCGATGCGTCCTGGGGATTCCCACGACCTCTTTCATATTTACACAAGTCGTCATTGAATAATATACACAACACTGCTTGGATAGATGTGCCATATTTCTCTTCCAAATAACTCACATCGAGAGCATCGGTTCTCAGCAGAAACATTCCAAACATCGAACATGTAATCCACGTATGTAGCACTTGCATCTGTAATCAGAAATGAAGAACAATCTGTCAAGCTCTCCACGTTTGTCCAGGAAATAGACAAATTCAGATACTTTATTTGTTTTCTCAACGGGTCGAGTTATAGTCCAGTGGCCGTGCGTTCGATAACACTAAAACCGTGACTTATAAATGAGACTACATAGGAATATGTTTCGTTTGATTTATGTCCATTTATTTCGGTCTCATGCCAATGTAAAAATATAGAGCTATAAGTATGAAATAGACTTCCTCCATTGATACTTGTTCAAATTTTATGATGGGATATTTCATGATCAGGTTACAGGAGGTAAACAGATATAGATGGCATATCAATTGCAATTACTCAGATGCGAGTAGGTAGTTACCAGTTTCGCCACCAGGTGGCTGAGTCGGGGGAAATAACATGGCAGGGTATTACAAAATTATTCCCTTAAACTTGAATATTCATCAGTTTTAGTGGTTCATTTTTCATATAACCCTTATGTATCTGATAGTTATACAAATTAAAATATGTCCAGTAAAGGAAAATATTATCTGCTCAACACAAGAAAAGATATTTAACTTTTTGTGATTTTACAACATGGGCTCTATGGGGAATCCCCCCGACCTAGAATTCACATTTTCAAAGAAAACTAAATTTTCAAAGTTAAACTCTTTTCAAAACCACATTTCTAGATGTAATTCTACATGTAGATTCCAAATATGACATCAGTTTGACTGAATTTTGAATTTTTGATGACGTAAATCAAGATTATTTCTACTCGCATCTAGTCTATTGAAGTTACTGTAATTTATTACGTAAAATAATAATTTGTTTTGAGTTCATAACAAACAAACAAACAGTACATTGTATTGTTATATCAACTGAGAATGGCATAACTAAAACTTGGATTTAAATTCCAAGGGACAACCATTATCTCTTGGTTGGTTCAATGAACTAATGAATTTTTATGTGATTTTGATGGTAATTTAAGTACAGTTTTATAATTATATACATGCACTGCCAATATGCTATTCTTAATATATAATCTGCATTATCACCTTGTTGTATCTCTCAGACAATTATGTATAATTGAATCGTTTATGTCATTTATCCATATAGATAACAAGCCTGTGTGATTTGCACAAAAGTCTAATCTGAACATCATTCTAAGCCATCTATTATTTATTATCATGTATATTTATATTATAAATTAATTTTAATGTAAGAGATGTATGAAATATCCCCGGGGATCAACATTCGTTCAGTGTAAAATTGCACTCTGGGCGGAAGTTCGCTGGGGGTCTTGAAAAAATGATTTTTAATTTTGAAGTTTTGTGAGATTTTTATCAATTTATCATCTATAGAACTTTGTAAACATGTCCGAAACAGAAAAAGGTGCGAGAGCACGATGCTGTAGTATGTGTGGAAATCCCACGAAAGGACATTTAGGGCCTTACGGTCCGAGTTGCACGATTAAAGAAACAAATGAAAATATGAATTTTCACACAAAGGAAGAAGTGGAACATACACAAGTGACACAACCCCCATGGATGAATGCTATTCTCGAAATGGGTAAACAAATTGCCGAATTAACAGTAGTAACATCAAAGATACAAAAAGACCAAGACGAAATGCGAACTTTTATGTTACAAAACATTTCGAAACCTGTTCAAACCTTGCCATTGTTACCTGAACAACTTCCACTGCTTAATCCACTGCCATCAAATGTGCACACAGGAGACATTAATTTACAAGTGTCACATGAAGGGTGCAAAGTTGGAGTACCACCTAAGATCTCAAAATCAATAGTCAATGGTGAGTACGTCAATATGACGGAATTGTTACAAACAAATCTATATAATCAGTATATGTACAAGGAAATGAACAAATAATATGTAGTGACAATGGTGAATTAAAGTTGGCCAAAAAACATAAACAAACACATATACAGTCTTTTATGACATGGATGACAGCATGGAATATTTATGAGCTAATAGTAATGGAGAAACACCCTGGAGTATATAATGAGCTTCGTGACTACAGATCTCATATACAAGATTGTGACAAAAAGTACAATTGGTCAGCAGTTTACCAGTACGATACAAAATTCCGAATAAAATTAGGAGCTACCAAATCATTCAAATTTAGCGCTATAGATACATATTTGTACACAACTAATTTGGATGCATCTGCTGTGAAACAATCAACAACAAGATGTTATCGATGCAAAGGAGACCACCTTGTATCTAATTGTCCTTTTCGTGAGGACAACAAGGTGGAAACAAATAAAACGTCGGAGAAAACAAAGATTGGTGACAAAACTGGAGAAGTATGCAACAAATATCAATATGGTGAGTGCAGTTTCGGAGAGCGATGCTTCAGGAAACATGTGTGCAAAAATTGTAAATCTAAAAAGTTGCCTTACACAAAATGTGATTGCGCAAAATCCATTGGAAATAATGCAGTATAATCCACTGAATTTAGATTACATAAGCCATGCTCTTCAATATCATCCTGATAAGGAATTTGTGTCTAGAATACTACATGATGGAAAATTTGGTGTCAATATTGGTTACAAGGGTCCAAGGATCACTAGAGTACACTCAAACTGGAAATCTACTCAAATTTACAGAGAAGCCGTGGAGGCGAATTTATTCAAAGAAATAAAAAATGGTCGAAAAGCATTCAGGTCGCACATTTCTTCGGAGAATGATTGACTTGTCTACAAAAGTGAAACACCTACACCATAAAATTAAGCTTAACAAAAGTTTCAGAGCTGACATATCTTGGTGGATAAAATATTTACCAGAGTGGAACGGGATATCGCTCTTTTATGATGATGAATGGATCACAAATGAATCTTTGGATCTTTTCACGGATGCATCTGACAAAGGATATGGTGCATATTATAAAGGGCAATGGATAGCAGGAGTATTTGATAAACATGATAGAAACCATGATATTGCATGGAAAGAGATGAAAGCCATAGTGGTAGCTATAGCATCATGGAGCCAGGAATTTAAACAAAAGAAAATTATGTTAAACTGTGACAATATGGCTATAGTACATGCAATTAACAAAGGTTCTTGTAAAAACAAACATATAATGTCATTGATAAGGGCATTATTTTACTATTGTGCTATCAATCAGTGTGAATGTAGGAGTCAACACATCCCTGGAGTATCAAACTCTTTAGCTGATGCATTAAGTAGGAATCAAATGGATAGATTCTACAAAATGACTGAATCAATATCCGTGAAACAATGCATTCCTGTTAAGTTGCAGGAATTTTATTAATACCCATAATAGTCTTATATAAATGATGGGTTTATTTATATCTATGGACTTTTTTATTTTAACAGTGTGATTAAGTATAATACTGATTTTAATAAGCCAGTGTGTATTTCTACTATACTATGTCTATGATTAATTAAATATGTATTGCTCAAAAGTATTTATATGTGTTTTAGGGCACTTAGACTGTGAAGGGTTAAAAAAGAGGTCAGATGAATTGGTAAAAAGAGGGCTACGTCCTACAACTATTAAAACTTATGCATCAGGACAGAAGTCTTTTATTGAATTTTGTGAAAAAGTCAAACATGAATACCTTCCTGCATCAGAGGAAACTTTATTAATGTTTATCACATATAGTTTTGAAAAGAATTTAAAACATGGTACAATTGTAAGTTACTTATACGCAATAAGATCACTTCATTTGGAACATGGATTCATAGATCCAATCGAAAATTCTTTCAAAATAAAAAGAGCTTTGAGAGCAGTATTAATGGAACAAGATAACACTAATAAAAAATCTGCAATTACAGCAGATATTATGTATAAACTATTAGAGATGCATAATGTAAATGATAGAAATGAACTTATGTATATAACAGCAATGACTGTGGCCTTTTTTGGTCTTTTAAGATGTTCAGAGTTACTGAATTTGAATATCACAGATGTCCACATAGAGCAACCTGATGGTGAACATTTAAAACACATGGTTCTCAGATTGAACATATCAAAAACAGATCCTATTGGTAAAGGCTCTGATGTCACCATTGGTTGCACTAATAAGCCTCTGTGTGCAGTTTGTCTTACAGAATTTTATCTCGAAAATAGAGGTTCACAATCCAGTCAATGTTTATTTTTGCATAGCAATGGTCTGCAATTGAATAGAGGTACATTCATATCTCATCTAAAGTTGTACATGTCAATTTTGAGTTATGATCCCAATAAATTCAGTGGTCATTCATTTCGATTAGGAGGAGCCACACAGGCTGGTATTGCAGGTTTAAAAGACTGGGAAGTAAAAATCATGGGCCGTTGGGCCAGCAACTGTTATCAAGAATATATACGTACACCCAAAAAGGTATTATGTAATTTATCAAATCGTCTCATTGACAATTTATAGAAGCAAGATAGATTATCGGATGTTGGGCGGTGTTTGGGCGGTTTTTATATATTGCCTTGCATTGTAAACAACTTGCATTGGCAATATGAATCAATATGATATGTTTTGTAAGATGTGTTTTGTAATAAGATTTATTAATTAAAAATAAATCCGCTCATTTTAAGCCCAACATCCATGTTTTGTATTATATTTCAGAATATTACACATTAATGTATATTTATATTATAAATTAATTTTAATGTAAGAGATGTATGAAATATCCCCGGGGATCAACAATCGTTCAGTGTAAAATTGCACTCTGGGCGGAAGTTCGCTGGGGGTCTTGAAAAAATGATTTTCCTCTCCCACCCTCCCAAATTTAGAGGGGTAGGTTGTATTTTATTAAATGTATATACGTTTATCATAGGGCGGTTTTTATATATTGCCTTGCATTGTAAACAACTTGCATTGGCAATATGAATCAATATGATATGTTTTGTAAGATGTGTTTTGTAATAAGATTTATTAATTAAAAATAAATCCGCTCATTTTAAGCCCAACATCCATGTTTTGTATTATATTTCAGAATATTACACATTAACATCATTCTAAGCCATCTATTATTTATTATCAACTTCATCTCGACATGTTTTAAGTTATCATTAACACAATAGAATATTTTAAAAGGTGAAACAAATGCGACTTTCTAGTAACTACAGCATTTCATGGCATGCATGTTTATTCCAATGCTTAACCATTATTCTACAGTAGATTACTTCAGTAATATGCTATACCTTGATGGATAAAAATGATTTAACCTTACTCGAGTTTCTAGCCAATACTTGGCTAGAGGGGATTTCATCTGAATACTGTGAACTCTATTTGAAAAAAGCTGGCCGGGGTGTCATAAATTTATTAAATATTTTAGAAATCGCCAGATAAATAAATCATTAATCAAACCGGACCCAGCTCGGCTCCTTGATGAGATATGACATGAATTTATCAGGATTTCGTCTAAAATTAAAACAAAATGGCTCCAAGAAAAATGGCGATGTTCGAAAACTGGACGAAATGTCGTTAATGTCTGACATTAGTAACCGGCTGTAAATTCTAAGTTAGCGATCCAGAAGATGTGAACTAATACACTGATCACTTTATGTGTGTTTTGGGATTTTTGGTGAGGTAATAAGACCAAAACTCGCAATTCAAATTGTGATGTGGAAAAATGGTGGGCATATATGTGTGTTTTGGGATTTTTGGTGAGGTAATAAGACCAAAACTCGCAATTCAAATTGTGATGTGGAAAAATGGTGGGCATATGATTTCAAATTTTATGATTACGACATGACCAGTTGTTCATGCAGGAATATATCTGTACTGGAAGGCCACGATTCAGTGGCCTTACCCGTCAGCCCATTCTCTAATCAATTAATTTGCAAATTGTATGGTTATCCGGTATCAATTTTGAAGATGTTAGCGTCTAGAAATCTTACTAACACACTTAGCTAGTATTAACATGGGCTTTCAAGAGACTTACTGAGAAATTCAAGCAAATCTTCCTACAATTCTTATGAGGTTAACCAGAAACATGATATATAACAAACGTGTCTGTCACTTTAAAAGTATGTGGGATATCTTTACATAATAATAAATATTTAGTACATTATGTCAATTTATAGGCTACATCACTTGTTTAATTTGTAATAAGTTGACAATGAGAATGGTGGCCATTTTCAATTTCAAACAAACAAAAAATAGGAAGAAAAACGACTTAACAACTCCTCGAAACCGCAATACTAAACTTTTATGTGTTCTTGACTTCTATTCATGATATTTGAATAACCAAACAAGCTAATACTAAAGTATTAGAATGTCACATGAAATAAACAGTCCATGGAACATGTGCTACCTTCGCAAAAAGATGAATTACCTACTATATTTCATATTTTGTCAATATATAAATAGATGGTAAGATATATTAAAAGGGATTGTTTGTAAGTAATATCTATGTCTTTATTTATCGCTCATCTTAAATGATAATGTACAAGGATTAACTCAATCGGCCATGTCTCTTAAGGTATTGATACTCGATTAAACCACATTTGGCTTGCTGAAAATGTTTTCTCAAAGGAATGATACTAGAAGGCCGTAGTCTCTCTTGATGGTAATTAGTCTCATAATTATTGATCGCACATCATTATTGAAAGGACTGATTTATCGGATCAAAATGCCTTACATACAACAAATAAACAATAAGTTACATGAGTTGTGCTCTATGTAACACCTAGTACACCAAGTCAACTTTTTTATGTATTCCATTATGTTATATCAAGTACAGTTTATACATGTATCAACATATGTTCATGTATTCCATTATGTTATATCCAGTACACTTTTTTATATCAACAGTTTTATGTATTCCATTATGTAAATTCCAGTACACTTTACATCAAAATATATATATTCCATTATGTAACATTCAGTACACTTTATATCAACAGTTTTATGCATTCACTTATGTAATATCCATTACACTTAATATCAACTGGTTTATGTATTCCATTATGTAACACCCAGTACACTTTATATCAACATCTACAACACCGGAAGAAAATCTGCACACCGCATGACATGGTCTTATATTTAAGGAATAGCATTATAATCATGATAGCCATTACATTTAACTGATCTATAATGAAATATTCTCGTCATGCATGTATCCAAGTATACAATTATAGATAAATTATTATGACATCACATGATAGAACATATCTTTATATTAATAAATCTTCATAAAACATATATTTATATATATATTACAAATATAATACTTACTTTTGAGACTATAAGTAATATAATCAAGGCTTAGTTCTCTTGGTTTTCTAATCCTGTAAGAAATACACGACCTTCAATAGAAAAAATCACTGTGTAAATTATATTAATAGAATAATGATGTTAATGTTTGTATAAAATCAGAAAATACATTTGCATTTACGTATTACGTTTAGCATTATTTTATACAAACTGCAAAGGCGGATATGAGTTTCAGTCTTAGAGGATATCTTTTTTATTCAATTATCCTTATCAATTAATTGTGCCAACCGTTTCATCTTTGTTATACATTTCACCCCTTACAAATTACTTATCAGTCTTCTTTGTACATTTTACAAAAACGCCTCCAGAAAATATCTTTTCAACATTCTACTCTATAGTCCATGAATGCATTTCTCATATCACAATATAAACTAGACTAACCTAAACTAGATTTACCTATTGTTTAAGATCATTGGAAATATGCAAAATAAATTCAATTTATCCGAGTGCATCCGAGTAATCCAGCGGACTCCATAGAATAAAAGTATAAAAGAATTCATTGTAGATTGATGATCACTTTATGAAATGTTTTACAATAATTAATCTTAGAGTATACATTTTCTATTGTGAACGACAGATTGTTAAATTGAATTGATAGTAATTATAAAACAGGATGGTTATCAGTTGAACACAATAAGCCAAGGGTTTATATGGTATAACATGATTTTCAAATGAAAACTGTAGTGCAGAAAAATTATTTTACGTGTGTACATACTTATCACACATGAATATTTTCCAAAACGTTTTTAAACGTGTCGGTCACTTTTTAGTATAATTCACCTTGACAGACTTAAAAGGGCTTTTGTGTCGGATTCAGAGAGCCCATTTCCATTTTCAAAGCTCAATTTTGATAACCCGTGCAATGTTTTGCCCATTTTGACATTGCAAACACACTACGAGATATCAAAGAAAATAGGTTCAATGCTATGCATTTTAATGATTTTAACACCTTCAAAGTTAGTTTTTTACTACATACATAATAAACTTATTATACACATTATAATTTTAATTCAGTTAGTATTCACCTTACCTTAGTTTAATTTGTCATCCATTGTGCCTTGTTTAGTTGAGATTCCTCGAGAACATTTCCAAATCGCAAAATTTCAGTTCTAAAAGAGAAATCAGAAATCCCGAAGTTATTACAGTCCATTGAAATGTGTTTAAAATATTTTTTTCTTTCTTCGCCATTTAAACAGGGCTTATACAGACATATTGCAATTCACTGACCTTCTAGAACAAATATTACATAAGTGATTACAAATTAATTTATAAATAACATGTTCAATAAATAATCTTAGAATACACAATTTTCATCGTAAAGAAATGATTAATACATTGATTTTTATAAATTATAAGTTGTTAAGATAATACGCTCTAGTAATTAAAAGAAACCACCTGGCGTATGTATAGCTTTCTCGACTTGGGACTCGTCAGCCCACCTTGGTACGATGACATTGACCCCATTGTCTGCAACCTAAGTGATAAGGGGGTATAACACTCTACTATACCTTGCATTTGGCGTTCATAAGCAACCCATTTGGCTTATTAGTAATGATTATATATTTGTTTTTATTTGTCTGTTCCTTATTAATGGTTTATCGGTTGAAAGTTAGATGTTGATAAGGTACTTTCAAAAATATACTAAACAATCCAATTAGACAAACAAAGTATCTTATGCATTTCTAGGTGTTAGGTATAGTAGTGTGATAAGGGGGGTATTTTAGTTTTAAACGATATTCAAATAAAATTATCGGTTTTTTAAAAAGTAGGTAAAAAAGGTCAAATCGAGGTCAATGTGACCCTGGGATTGTAAATTTTTAACGTTTCTTTATTTTTGTTAATTTTCTTTCAATTTTTTGTGCCAAAAATGCTGTATTTCTAATATTTTATCTTTCGGATAAAAATCTAAAATCTTTTCTAGAACTGAACTTAATATGCACTTTCAAAGATAGCTATCGCGAAAACTGATAGCAATCATCCCCATTAGTATGTGTACGTTGTGCATCGTTGGGATGTGCAAAAAATCAAAGGTATTATTCAAGTTGTTTTTGAAAAAAAATGTTTTTCTCTCAAAATCGTGAAGATAACGCGATTTGCGGATATTTGGCGATTAACTGTTTCAAACCCATTAATAATGCATAATATGGTCAATAATGGCTCGCGATTTTCACGAAATAAAGCATGCTAGAAAATAAGGAATTCAATGTGCTAAGTGATTATCTATCAAACAGAGAAATAATATACCAAAACGCGATAACGTTTAATTTAGTTCAGTTTACCTATACCTCCCGTTTGAAGAGCTCTCATGTATGGTACATCTTCGTCTACATTCGGGTTCTTTCCCTTTGGATTACACAGGGGTGCTATTTTCAATGCCGCACTGCGACGAATTTAACATTTATGTAGAGTTTCATTTGCAATTAAGATATATGACAAAGCTTTTTGAACTACATAATCCCCAAATCTGAAGAAATCTGTAGTTGAAGATGCCTTCCAATTCCAGTGACGTCACTGATATCCCAGAAATTGCTCAGACGCCATCGAAGATCGAAAAAACATATATGGATTTTATTTTCATTTGATGCAGAATATGGTAAAAGAAAAAATGGGAACGAGAGGGACTTGATCCATGATCCATAGTTAACAACCATGAAACTATCCCATCCAATATGCCAAAGATGATTGTATGGAAGCAGTGTTTTATTCGTTAATAAGATATCAAATAGGTGTATACTATACATTACATTACAATTACATGATACGACATCTATACATTTACTCTAAAAATAACAGCTAGGAACATAATCTAGCCGGACAATTCATTCGTTCACTGTAAAGCTAAGTTCACACCAACGGCGCTTTGATGGCGCTCGTCGCATTAAAGCGCCATCAAAGCGCCGTTAATGGTACGTTCACACCAACGGCGCTTTGATGGCGCTTTAAAGCGGCTTGTAAAGCGGCACCAAAGCGTAACAAAGCTTAATTAAAGCGTCGGGGTCGTAATAGGTCGTAGAAAAGCTCGGGAGTAAAGCGGGATATTCGGCAAGAGCGCTAAAAAAATTAAACTGTTTAAGCGTTCGCACCAACGGCGCTTTGATGGCGCTTTAAAGCGGATTGTAAAGCGGCACCAAAGCGTAACAAAGCTTGATTAAAGCGTCGGGATCGTAATAGGTCGTAGAAAAGTTCGGAGTAAAGCGGGATATTCGGCAAGAGCGCCAAAAAATGTTAAACTGTTTAAAAATTTTGGGCGCTCTGTTACGAATTGATTGAAGCGCCGAGAGCGTATCAAAGCTTAACAAACCGTAACAAAGCTCAACAAAGCTTGACTCAAAGCGTAGGAAAGCTTTACACAGCTTGATTCAAAGCGGGGACCCCAGTCTATTCACGGTCTGTTACCACTTGACACGCTTCGTTAAGATGTCTCAAGATTTGCTACGATCTGGCATGAAGATCTGACACGAGGTCAGACGCTTTCATCAATATCTGACACTCTTTGTTACACTTTCCTGAGGGACTCTCAAGCTTTCCAACGAATTGAGACGCTTTAATCAAGGATTGAAACGCTTTGCTAGGCTTTGTTACGCTTGAAAGTTTTCACACGCTATATCACGCCGTGCGACAAACGTCATGTCTTCTTCAGATAGGTCATCCTCTGGTCCATCTGGAATTTCTGGATCTCGTTGTTCTGCCATCGTGTTCTCGAGTCAAAGATGCAATGGTTTTATGGATCTACTGCATCTTTATATAGTCATTGGATCAAAAGCGGCATGGAATCGGCGATCTCGACATTTTCCAATGCGTGACAGAGCTTAACAGAGCGTAACAATGCACAACAGAGTTTTCAAGCGTAACAAAGCCTGATCAAAGCGGGATCAAAGCGTGAGGAACCTTTTAGAGCTATGTTAAGCTTTCCTACGCTTTGGATCAAGTTTTTCTGAGCTTTGTTACGGTTTGTTAAGCTTTGATACGCTCTCGGCGCTTAATCGATTCGTAACAGAGCGCCCAAAATTTTTTAAAAGTTTAAAATTTTTTGGCGCTCTTGCCGAATATCCCGTTTTACTCTGAGCTTTTCTACGACCTATTACGACCCCGACGCTTTAATCAAACTTTGTTACGCTTTGGTGCCGCTTTACAAGCCGCTTTAAAGCGCCATCAAAGCGCCGTTGGTATGAAGAAAAATGACAAAAATGACGGCGCTTTGCTCGCCGATTTAAAGCGTGGCATTCGGCGTTGGTGTGAACGTACCTTAAGTTGGTGTGAACTTAGCTTCAGGGCCTTGTATGAATGTGTTTTTTGCATATAGTGTTTCAATATGGCCCTTTGATTGCTCATTTTTAAATTCAAAGTACTCAATAGAATCTTGAATCGGACTGTATCTATATAGTCTAATAGTCCGTCAGTATGTATAGTACTATACAAATATTGAATGATATTGAGTGCAATTCCTGCCATATATTTCTGAGGGTGTATTCCACGCAGCCGAAAGGGCAATTGGAACACATCCCCCAGAAATATATACAGGTATTGCACGAAAACAGAATTCAATATTTCTTTTATTATTTCATACATATTAACCGTTTAACAATATTAATTCATTTACTATATATAGTGTCTCAAAAATCGAAAATTGGATAAAAATGCCACATCTTTATAGATGTTCTATACATGTGACGTCACATTCGTTGAATACCTGTATTTATTTTTCTAAAAATACATTTTACATCTTTCATATCGATGACTTACACATGGATGGAATACCTTATTTTTGGTCACATGGCACATGACTGACCAATCACATGCTGATTATCGCTACAGAGAAATAATAATGGGTTATATTGTATACCAATACAGAAAATATACTTAACATAATACAAACTAGGACACCAGGTCAAGGGGACCCGGGATCATATATTCAGGAAGACTATATTTGCTCTGGCACCGCTACGCTCAAATTAAACATAAGTTTCAAAAGGATTAGTAAAGTGCTGACTATTTAGAGCAACACAGAATATTTCTGTGGTCTTTTTATCGTTCCTAGTTATTCCTTGAAGCTTTACAGGATGAAGGAATGAGAGAGAACTGTAAAGAAAGGCTTGGAATCTCAACCATGGTTTCTCTCGTGTGTTGCCATAGTCCCAATTGTATGCAGCCACGGCCATGTTGCTATCATTTACAATGAGAGAATGGAGTATTGTAGGCACAGCAACCTCAAGAAGCACCCTATGATTGTAGAAAATCTGGGCAATAGAAACAAACACATCAAAATGCTTCTGTGGTAGGTAGTATACATCTGCCGCATCGAACATCAACCTTTTCGTTCCGAGTAATTCTTTAGAAAGACCATGAAGAAATGTTTTAATTATGTTATTTGAGTTCTTCAATCGATAAAACTCCTCAAATGCATTTATGATATTAGTTTCATATGTTTTCAAATAAATGTTGCGTGGAGTGACTTGGCATTTTCCCTTTAAGTTTGAAATATTACACATTTTAATTCTACCGGGCTCTACTGAGGCTATCATTCTACCGATGTCACGGTCTCCAAAGCTATACGAATCCCTTGTGCGAATAATTGATGGTTTTTTCACAATTTCTGAAAATTGTTTCTCCGTTTTAAAACCTCTCGAGTTGAACCAGATTTCATCTACAGGTAGCTTGCTGATAGTTTTGACTTTCATGAATACATCGTCGGCGATAGTTAGGATACCCTTCACTCTAAGTCCTAACTTCATAGCTTTCACAACACATTCATAGTTGTAAAACCCCGGTAGTGCATCTTGTTTACGTTCAGATTTGATAAAATTGATGTTCCAATCTTGAAGAATAGACTTGCTTGGAATTTCTGGGCCACAGTAAATTGTTTTTACAAAATGGCCGTCATAAAGTGCCTCCAAATATGGAATGTTCTCGTAATGCAGATTGTTATTAAATATTATAAGCAGCAAAATGGGTTTTGGTTGTATTAACAGCTTCTTATTGAACTCTCTCCGTGTGTTAAAACTAAGACACATTTTGTGATACAAACTTTTTATTTTTGACTTTTTCTCCCCTATATACACTAGTTTTGAATCTGAAGGAATCGACATTGGGAATCGATTATCAGATTGTAGAATGATTGGGTAGTCAAGAGATTCACCATGTCTCTCTGTTGTCACAATGTCAGGAAACTTGTATCCAATAGCAACAAGATCGTGTAGCCATGCAGCTGTTAGCTTAGCATCAGCAATGTCCAAGAATCCCTCGTTGACCATATTGTCTGCTAAAATCTGCATACACGCATAAAGACTGTTTGAATTGCATTTCCAATCAGATAAAAACTGTAAAAGATCTCCTGTTTGATCGTATAACTTCTTTTTTTGTTTTATATCACCTATGTAGGAGTGATTGTTTCGAAGTTGGAAGCCATTGGGAGGCATGTAACTTATAAAGCCACCAATGAGCCACAGAAGGGTCTGTGTAGAATAGCCTCTCCATATATCAGTTACACGGAATGTGACAGTTGTAGGTAGAAGAAGCCCCCAGAATGCATTATAACGAAACAGAGTATTCTGGGAATTCCATGGTACAAATGTGCCTTTTGGGTAAAGTAATGGGGGCATGTAATGATCATAAGTGATGTTTAAAGATTTGATGTTTGATTTGCAGGTAAGTCGAAATATTGCATCTACATCTGGATCCCCATCAACAGCCCCTTGTTGTATCAGTGCTGTTTTCCAGTGAACCGCATTGTAATCACTGGTAATATTATCTCCAATTTTGTCCAAAGGAAACCCCCTTGGCCAGGTTGTTGGCTGACCATAATAAGCATATGGGTTCAGAACTGTGGTCTCACTTGAGGGTACGACACCATACATCATGTCAGTGATTATGAAACCCCTAAGGTCATCAGTTGGATGATTGTCGTCATCTGTATCATAAATCAATTGTGCACCATGCTGAAAATATAACATGAATTCCACAAATAGCACTTTTCTGTAACAGAGGCTTTTGCTTCTAAAATTGGGTCACACAAGGTTGTCCTCTAAAAACAACTTTTATGCATATTTTTTACTTTTTACCACAAACTCGCTTGGAAATTTTGATGAACAAGAGAATACAGAATTCCGGAAATGTCAAAAAGATGTGAATATCTGCAACATCATCCGATCACACGGCTTCAAAATCCAGAATATATTCTTTCTTTTTACTCCCTTCGATAAGCAGTTAGCATTTCCCCGATTAAGAACTCGCAATTTGATTAGATGTCGCAACACTGAGACAGCAATCATGTATACGTCATCGGCGCATAACTAAATCACGTGATTCAGTTTAGTCGAGCGCTTCCAAATTGCTTATAGCAGGGGGGAAGAAGGAAGTACGGATTCTGGACACCTGCTTAGGAGGATGATCAGCAATGGCGCAATGTTTTGGGATTGAAATTACAATAGGCTAAAATTGAGTAATAGCTATGGGCGATGATAGGGTATTTAGGCAGATGCCCGCATTTTTTTATTTCAATATAACTTTATATAAGAATATTGGCAGGGTATGCCAGCATCATTTCTACAAATGATTGCGAAATGAGATAAACAAACCACTAAGGGGTTATTGAAAAATAAAGGTGACCAGACACCAGGGGTCTGTTTAAAAAGCTACAGATTTTATGATGATATTCGTAGCAACAATAATATTAGTTATGCCTCAAATGACTGAATCAGATTGAAATATTATATGTTCAGTCACTAGATATGTATGCTGCCTACACTGTATGCCTTAATTTTTCAAAATTTGGCCTCAATTTTTGGTTTTGGGGACCCAAAAATGTTTTTTTTCGCCCAAGCGTTGATATTATTTTCTGACTACAAATGTGCCCCCACGTTGTTAGCTTCCAGATCTGCCACTAAACCATCAATGGAAGTAGTTCCGTCTTGAGGATTAGTATAAAGTTACCCTTGGGGAAATCAAAAGTAATAGAACTGCTCATAAAACAGAGGCTTTGTTAAACATTCTAGCCGCACCATATCCAGCTACGGTAAACGGACAAACTGATGTTTCAAGACAAATTATAAAAAAGTTCATCTAAAAAATATATATTGCAATTTACCTGTACTGCATAAAGATACCCTATATTCTTGCGGCCATAGTTAGAAAATGGGATATATTCCAGAATTTTGTAACCGAGAGATTTCTGTGTAGCTATACTTAGGAATATAACACCATCGTAACTGAAAACATAAATGAGACATAATATGAGGAGGAGTATGTTTAAGTAAGTGTGTTCGTTCTGATGTTTTGTGCAATCTTCGTTGAAGTCACATTTCACAAGTCATTTCATGTATGGTCTGTCTACAACTTTCAGTCTTGCACAAAGAGCGCATTGACCCTAATGTGGACATATTTTATAATACTAATGGACAGGGGGGTTAGATGACTCCCTTCACCTGGCATTTTCAAAATAAACATCCCAATAAATACCTCTGACTATAATATAATTTAAGGATTTGGGAGTTTGAGTAATAACTGAAAAAAGAACGTTTTTGTCAGAAGTAGCTGAGGAGTGGAAAACCTAATAGTCCATGTCATGAAATCTCTAGGATGTCTAATAAAGGAGCTGGTAGCACACCATAGGGCAGCGATATTTGAACTTACATTAACATTCCTACATATCGTCCCATTTTTTCCACATTGTTACAATTGCATTTTCGCTAATTTTGAGAAATCAGAGGTTGAAGTTTAGAGCATTATAACTTTTGAGTAGTATTTTTTAAAAACTTATTTTTGGTATAGGTAATATGTGTATTTCTATGCCTTGCAGAGAAAAAATCACCAATTAACAATAAATAAAAAACATATTTTTTTATGGTTTCTTGTTTTTGAAACTGAAAACGGAAATTTCATTCACTTCCATTTTGTTATTGTCTCGTATACCATTATTCTGCCCATTTTATTATAAAGAATATGACTTGTGTTCCATTTTGACTGACAAGGCACTGGATGAGCTTGGTCCATGTTTTTGCTTACAGGATTGCATTTTTCTAATTATGTTAATTATGAGAAGTATATCATTTCTCATTGATTTTGAAAATAATAATTTTTCAGCATCTGCGAATTATTCCCATTTATACCCTCCCCCGGCTACTTTTATGAGGGGGTACTATGATAATCATCCATACTGTTATATACCTTCAATCACATTAATATTTCTAGGGATTATTTATCTATGTGTAATTAGTTGCTCTGACTGTAAATATTTTGGATAAATCAACCAGATATTTAATATGTACATAACAAAGGTAAAAAGGCTATAACAGGGACAGTAATTGATTAAACAGGCAATGCGTTTATTTTTTGAAGGAAAAGGGCAAAATATTATTTGAGACATGTCACTCACACAGTCAATCAAATATGATAAAAACTTTAATTTGGGTCAATACTGAAGTGAAAAAAATTACTCGCATAGAAAACAGCATTTAAAGTTCAGAGACCAAAGGAAGTGAATTACCACTTTTCACAAAGTGTATGCTTTTAAATAACTCTTGGACTAAAAGATGGCGTATGGTTGAAAATCCTATCAAAAATGAATGGTCAATTAATGCAAACAACAATGCCATCTTTCTATGGCATTGCTAAAAACTTGACATCTACAAATTGATAGATCAAAAATATTTTTTTAATGATCCAGTGTCAACTCTGATGTGGTCTGCTTGAGCTGTTTTTGGTGTCAAATGAAAGATCAGGTACTTATTAATCCATTGGAAATACTATGAAGATCAAAAGTGTTTCAAATAATGTCAAACCTGTTTTCTTATGTCATGATTTATGATCTCCTTTGTGAATTACCTACAAAATATACAAGTAAGAGATCGTCCCATTATTTCCACATTGTTATAACTATTAGTCACATGATCAAAATAATGTATCCGATTGGCTCTGCTGCCTACCCAAACGGATATGACAAGGTGGGCCTAAATTTTTTTCCCTCATTTTGCACTTATAACAATGTGGCACAGGATACAGTGTATATCCAAAAGGAGATGAGATCCATTGAAATGGACTTCAGAAATGAATTCCTCGTGAAAAATTAAGATAGTATACTTATCTCAAAACCTGTAAAAAGTGAGTTATAACAATGTGGAAATAATGGGACGATACGTTCCCTTATAACTGTTATTATAACCTTTTAATATACTTCCGGCTTTTAGGCTGAATTATGCCTGCCATTAACAGAGGTCAAAATATTAGCAAAATTTGGAGTACACAATGCAATAGAAAACAACCATCAAGATTTGGTCGAATTCATGAATAATTGAGAAAAATCGTTATCATTATCTTCCTAAAAGTTGATTATATCCAGCGGTAAGGTCAAAGAAGAAACAACCATCAGAAAATCTAATTGATTATTAGACATGCCCTTGGAATATATGAACATTCTAATACCTCTGTAACGTTTAATTAGATATAAATCTTACCTATTTGTTATTGTATTATGTTTAATAAAACATGAACAATAATTTGTTGTTTGACCCCTTGCGATTATATGGAAAAATGCTGGTAAAGAAAACTAATATGTTACCAATCATAAATCACCTAAATATTCCACACAATTTTGTTGAATCTGCTTGGCTCATATTTGAAAAATCAAACAAAATCTGAAAAAAAAACATTTGCGTAATTACACTGTCTTATTAAACACCGACATCTACAGTAAAATTCTAATATATTTTTACGTTATGATTATCTATTTTTTGTTCGTATGATAAGAATAACGGTCTGTGTCTTATCAAATGTATAAAAGTTCGAATCAAAATATTTACGTTTTCTGACCCCTTGTCAGAGCCTGATTAAAGCGTCATGATCGCATCAAAGCATAATAATGCTTACCAAAGCTTATCAAAGTGTGATTTTAAGCATAACAAAGCCTGGTCGAAGCAGGATCATAGCATGAGGAACCGTAACAAGTCGAGAAATCAGAGCGTATCAGAGCTTATCAGAGCGTAACATTACTTAGGAGATCGTGATATTTTTGGAAAAGTAAACATAAATGACAGCGCTTTGCTCGCCGATTTAAAGCGTGGCACTCGCCGTTGGTGTGAAAGTAGCTTTGAAAATCTTTGGCGCTCTTGCCGAATATCCCGCCTTGCTCATAGCTTTTCTACGACCTTTTACGATCCCGACGCTTCAATCAAACTTTGTTACGCTTTGGTGCCGCTTTACAAGCCACTTTAAAGTTCACATCAACGGCCCTTTGATGGCCCTTTGTGAATTACCTACAAAATATACAAGTAAGAGATCGTCCCATTATTTCCACATTGTTATAACTATTAGTCACATGATCAAAATAATGTATCCGATTGGCTCTGCTCCCTACCCAAACGGATATGACAAGGTTGGCCTAAATTTTTTTCCCCTCATTTTGCACTTCTAACAATGTGGCACAGGATACAGTGTATATCCAAAAGGAGATGAGATCCATTGAAATGGACTTCAGAAATGAATTCCTCGTGAAAAATTAAGATAGTATACTTATCTCAAAACCTGTAAAAAGTGAGTTATAACAATGTGGAAATAATGGGACGATACGTTCCCTTATAACTGTTATTATAACCTTTTAATATACTTCCGGCTTTTAGGCTGAATTATGCCTGCCATTAACAGAGGTCAAAATATTAGCAAAATTTGGAGTACACAATGCAATAGAAAACAACCATCAAGATTTGGTCGAATTCATGAATAATTGAGAAAAATCGTTATCATTATCTTCCTAAAAGTTGATTATATCCAGCGGTAAGGTCAAAGAAGAAACAACCATCAGAAAATCTAATTGATTATTAGACATGCCCTTGGAATATATGAACATTCTAATACCTCTGTAACGTTTAATTAGATATAAATCTTACCTATTTGTTATTGTATTATGTTTAATAAAACATGAACAATAATTTGTTGTTTGACCCCTTGCGATTATATGGAAAAATGCTGGTAAAGAAAACTAATATGTTACCAATCATAAATTACCTAAATATTCCACACAATTTTGTTGAATCTGCTTGGCTCATATTTGAAAAATCAAACAAAATCTGAAAAAAAAACATTTGCGTAATTACACTGTCTTATTAAACACCGACATCTACAGTAAAATTCTAATATATTTTTACGTTATGATTATCTATTTTTTGTTCGTATGATAAGAATAACGGTCTGTGTCTTATCAAATGTATAAAAGTTCGAATCAAAATATTTACGTTTTCTGACCCCTTGTCAGAGCCTGATTAAAGCGTCATGATCGCATCAAAGCATAATAATGCTTACCAAAGCTTATCAAAGTGTGATTTTAAGCATAACAAAGCCTGGTCGAAGCAGGATCATAGCATGAGGAACCGTAACAAGTCGAGAAATCAGAGCGTATCAGAGCTTATCAGAGCGTAACATTACTTAGGAGATCGTGATATTTTTGGAAAAGTAAACATAAATGACAGCGCTTTGCTCGCCGATTTAAAGCGTGGCATTCGCCGTTGGTGTGAAAGTAGCTTTGAAAATCTTTGGCGCTCTTGCCGAATATCCCGCCTTGCTCATAGCTTTTCTACGACCTTTTACGATCCCGACGCTTCAATCAAACTTTGTTACGCTTTGGTGCCGCTTTACAAGCCACTTTAAAGTTCACATCAACGGCCCTTTGATGGCCCTTTGTGAATTACCTACAAAATATACAAGTAAGAGATCGTCCCATTATTTCCACATTGTTATAACTATTAGTCACATGATCAAAATAATGTATCCGATTGGCTCTGCTCCCTACCCAAACGGATATGACAAGGTTGGCCTAAATTTTTTTCCCCTCATTTTGCACTTCTAACAATGTGGCACAGGATACAGTGTATATCCAAAAGGAGATGAGATCCATTGAAATGGACTTCAGAAATGAATTCCTCGTGAAAAATTAAGATAGTATACTTATCTCAAAACCTGTAAAAAGTGAGTTATAACAATGTGGAAATAATGGGACGATACGTTCCCTTATAATTGTTATTATAACCTTTTAATATACTTCCGGCTTTTAGGCTGAATTATGCCTGCCATTAACAGAGGTCAAAATATTAGCAAAATTTGGAGTACACAATGCAATAGAAAACAACCATCAAGATTTGGTCGAATTCATGAATAATTGAGAAAAATCGTTATCATTATCTTCCTAAAAGTTGATTATATCCAGCGGTAAGGTCAAAGAAGAAACAACCATCAGAAAATCTAATTGATTATTAGACATGCCCTTGGAATATATGAACATTCCAATACCTCTGTAACGTTTAATTAGATATTATAAATCTTACCTATTTGTTATTGTATTATGTTTAATAAAACGTGAACAATAATTTGTTGTTTGACCCCTTGCGATTATATGGAAAACTAATATGTTACCAATCATAAATTACCTAAATATTCCACACAATTTTGTTGAATCTGCTTGGCTCATATTTGAAAAATCAAACAAAATCTGAAAAACACATTTGCGTAATTACACTGTCTTATTAAACACCGACATCTACAGTAAAATTCTAATATATTTTTACATTATGATTATCTATTTTTTATTCGTATGATAAGAATAACGGTCTGTGTCTTATCAAATGTATAAATCAAACTTTGTTACGCTTTGGTGCCGCTTTACAAGCCACTTTAAAGTTCACACCAACGGCCCTTTGATGGCGCTTTAAAGCGGCTTGTAAAGCGGCACCAAAGCGTAACAAAGCTTGATTAAAGCGTCGGGGTCGTAATAGGTCGTAGAAAAGCTCAGAGTAAAGCGGGATATTCGGCAAGAGCGCCAAACATTTTTAAAGCTACGTTCACACCAACGGCGAATGCCACGCTTTAAATCGGCGAGCAAAGCACCGTCAATTTTGTTTACTTTTCCAAAAATATCACGATCTCCTAAGTAATGTTACGCTCTGATACGCTCTGATTTCCCGACTTGTTACGGTTCCTCACGCTATGATCCCGCTTCGACCAGGCTTTGTTACTCTTAAAATCACGCTTTGATAAGCTTTGGTAAGCATTGTTACGCTTTGATGCGATTATGACGCTTTAATCAGGCTCTGATACGATTGCCAAGCTCTGTTGTGCATTTTCGAGATCGTATTTATCATGATGCTTTTGATCAAATGGCTGTATAAAGATGCAGCAAATCCATAAAACCATTACATCTTTGACTCGAGAAGGTGATGGCAGAACAACAAGATCCAGAAATCCCAGATGGACCAGATTATGACCTATCTGAAGAAGACATAATGTTTGTCGCACGGCGTGAAAGAGCGTGAGAGAGCGTGAGGAAGCTTGTCAAGCGTAACAAAGCTTAACAAAGCGTTTCAATCCTTGAGTAAAGCGTCTCAATTCGTTAAAAAGCTTGAGAGTCCTTCATGAAAGCGTAAAAAAGAGTGTCAGATATTGATGAAAGCGTCTGACCTCGTGTCAGATCTTCATGCCAGATCCTAGCAAAGCTTCAGACATCTAAACAAAGCGTGTCAAGTGGTAATAGACCGTGAAGAGACTGGGGTCCCCGCTTTGAACCAAGCTCTGTTAAGCTTTCCTACGCTTTGGGTCAAGCTTTGCTGAGCTTTGTTACGGTTTCTTGAACTTTGATACGCTCTCGGCGCTTTAATCAATTCGTAACGGAACGCCAACATTTTTAAACAGTTTAAAAAATTTTGGCGCTCTTGCCGAACATCCCGCTTTACTCCGAGCTTTTCTACGACCTATTACGACCCCGACGCTTTAATCAAGCTTTGTTACGCTTTGGTGCCGCTTTACAAGTCACATTAAAGCGCTATGCTTTGGTGCCGCTTTGCTCGCCTATTTAAAGCGTGGCATTCGCCGTTGGTGTGAACTTAGCTTTACAAAAATCATGAAATCGCCACCAAAATTTCTCGGAGCAGGCAGATATAAGACAAGACTGGGCATACACAAAATGTATTGTATGTGCTCCATATTATTATATACATTATATTGAGCGTTATCCCTGCTTCGGACAAATTTGATTCTTTTTTACATAATATAGATTTGAATGTCCTCTTTTGAATAGTCATAATTTAATTTGGGTAGTATTTTTAGATTTTTCATATAAAAATTACTAATGAACCACCCAACGTCGCTTTTATGATTCGTACCACTTTTTAAACTTGATGTATTGCATATTTCCGTGGGTCGATTTGAAAAAAGACAAACATCGTGGGATCAATGTTAGATTAGGTTTGCTATAAATGACTTTAAAACAAAAAATAAAAAACATTAGTTCACGTTTTTGAAGTCTCATTGACACTGACATCAAGGAATATTGAGCTTTTTGTCATCAGACATCTTTATTGATGGAACTAGCTATGTACTACTTCAAATATACTCAAATAGTACATGTACCTGTAATATCTAAGATGTTATATTTATTGATGAAAAGATTCTTACATGCTAAAGTTACATTAAAATATCAATTGCAATAGCCATCTGTTTTTAACATCCCTTTGTCACTCATCCCTTAATTATCTCTGTGTATAATTATACTTGTGTCGTGTTCGATGTTGATAGCACCCGAGTGCAACCTAACCCCCCTATCACACCAAACTAGTTCTTACCCGTTCTTGCCAGTCCTACGAAAACGTCGTAAAACGGGCTCAATCTGGCTGTGATCGGGAAATATGTCTAAAATAATTAGCTACTTCGTTCATAAACAGTCTTCAATACGTCCATCTCATTCGCAGTTCGTTCAGGTCGTACCACGATCGGTGTGCAACGTCGTATAACGCGTCCCTTAGTCTAGAAGGTCATCATGACCAGATTACAGAACGGTATGGTCGCCATCGAATTTTCAATTGATTCAAAATTCAAAAATCACCTTCCCGTCTGAGAACGTTCATGCAGATCGTAAATAGACCTTAGAAAGTTGCAGCTACGTTCATTCCGTTCGCACACAGTTTAAAACCAGTTTTGAAGAACGAAGTGGCAACTTGTTTGGTGTGATAGCTATATTTTTGCTAACTTGTTCATAAGCAGTCTTTAATACGTTCTTAATCAGTTTTAACCCGTTTGCAATTAGTTCTACCTCGTTCATTCTCAATACGTTCTCAGACAGTTCAACTCGTTGTAAAATCCAGTCCAGTCCAGTCCGTTCGTACACAGTTGAAGCCCGTTTTCGAGAACGTAGTGAGAACTAGTTTGGTGTGATAGTAGAGTAAGAGTGATGAACTTCGTTCTCCAAACCGAGAATGGTCAATTGAGCACATATGGTGCATATATTGGAGGTTATACAGCAAAAGTAAGGTCACCCCAAAAGTTGGTGAGCAAAAATTGATATTCAAATATTTTTTTCTTCCTCAATATGCAAGTTGAGATGTTGGTGTTTCATATGTGTATTACCTGCATATAGAAGTATTACCATTTTGGCCATATTATGACATATTTTTTGTGAATTTGGGAGGTAACAATCCAAATTTTGGCACCAAAAAGCATTAAAAGTATTAAACGATTTAAATACAGTCTGAATCTTTTCCCTAAACTAATACAACATTCAAACATGAAAAAACTATTCCAATATGGAGAAATTATTTTTTCCCTTACCCCTAGTCAAAATTGGGGTGGGCTACCTACAGTACGAAGTGAAATTTCATATTTGTCCACTACTTGTATTTTCCTATATTTTTGATATGTTGCTACATACATATCAATTAATAAGTTAAAGCATGTTTCAAAACTATTGCAATTTGTCAGATGTCAAATCACCAATTGACTGGTCAAGTATCACGGAATACAACAATAAACTTCGCGTTGCAAATTACATGCTCACATGTTTTCAACAATAACAGCTCGTTCAAGCGCACTTAAACCGTTTAATACCGATATGTCAACTTTGTCAGTAAACCTGTTCCGGTCAATCGCTGGAGCACCATAGGGGTGCCATTGACACAATACAAACTTTGGTTCTTTAAGCGCTTGAATGAGTCATTTTTGTTAAAAACATGCGACCATGCAATTCACACCGTGAGGTCCATTGATCGTTTTCATGATAAGGCCCATTACATGCTGTGTGGGAATATTGCGCTCGCGGGTATACGAAAATACAGCAATAGTTTGTCATTGCACTAATGCCTGGGTCACATTTGTTTCGACCCATCGGCCGGCGCCCGGCCGATTGAGTATTTTGTTCAAATTTGTTTTCAATTTTTTTCAACAAAATACACAATCGGCCGGGCGCCGTGCTGAAAATCGTAGCAAATGTGACCAAGGCATACGCGGCATTTCACTTATACTGTAGCATTTGCGATACATATTACCTATGAATGGCCGAAGATTTCGAAATGGTATGTTTTTATCCAACAAATTATGTCATTTGAATATCAAATATCAATCATTAACTTAACAATAGTAACAACAAACATTTCTCATTCCATATGCGCATCAAGATAACAAGACGAGATTGACAAATGTAGCCTGTTGCGCGAGCATGATGTCTCGCGTTCAGATACGGGTATAGGGAAATCTTATGGTATCTATTCTCATGCAATTAAAACCAATCATACTTTAAACATAACAAAATGTTTTAAAAGACTTACTGCCAGTTTTCTGGTGTTTCTTTATCAGCAACAACCAGTAGCTGCCATTCTGACAGTTTTGCCAAACGTTCGATGTCATGTGTAGGAGAAGAAATGCTTGTTACGACTATCCACTTGGTACTTTTGATGACACCAACTTCTGGCACTTTCTTTGTACCGATTAACTCACTTTCTCGTGATTCTTCCTGGTTATCCAATCCACCACTGGCAACATCATCATCATTGATTTCTCTATTGACACCATATCTTTTCTTGATATCAACTTCTCCCTTAATAGCTGAAGTAAAGTAGTAATATAACATAATTATCATAATTATTGAAATACTGTTTATAGCACGTTGGTTTTTAAGTTTGAACGATTGTCTCATAGTGTCTTTAATTTCTCTATGCTTTTCAAAGTAAAACCAAATTATATAAACCCGAATCGATCGATATATATATTCACCATTTCAGTTTGAAATGATCATATTAGGCCTACCTAATTCATTAGACAGAAAATATTATTTCTTCAGATTTTCTATCTTCGAAGAAATAATTTTGATTTACAATTGAATATTGATGTCATGATGTAACTCGATCGATTTGATAAGTTACTAATAAAAATATGAATAAACTGTACTACCTCCGCATTATACAGGGTGATCCAGAGGTAACATAAAAGAGGGTGCCATTTCAATACAACTGGACCAATGTTCGTGAAACTAGGTACAGATGTTTCCCATACCCATACCCATATATCCATGGGTATACACTCATCTACCCTGTCTCAAAGTCGAAATTATTTTATCATCTCTAGAAGTGATTTTCCTGGAGGTAATGCATTGGCCTAACAAATGCAATTGTTTAAATCCTTAGAAAATGGCCAAAATCCAACATATGACTGTCCAAAATCTGTTGCGCTAATTTCTCTCCTCCTTTAAAATCTTGCGAGATCTCGAGTGCTCTGAGAACAAGGCACAGACGTGAACAATATCGTACCTAAAACACAGCATTGTGGTCTTGTTGACCAAGAAAGCAAGATGGCCGCAGAAAAGTTAATCAGCTCTAGAACTTATCACTGTGTAACATATGTAAAAATTTGAACGGTTTGGCTGGAAACCTATAGACAAGTCTTGAAAGTGAAGATTTTAGGACGGAAAATCCAAAATAGCCACCTTAAAATTTACCCAGAATGCCCAAAAACCAATCAGTTCTTGACGTTGATATGTAGAAACATCCCTGAAAATTTCAGATGAATCCCTCAAATGGTTTGGCTGAAAATCTGTAGACAAGTCTTGAAAGTGAAGATTTTAGGACGGAAAATCCAAAATAGACACCTTAAAATTTACCCAGAATGCCCAAAAACCAAGCAGTTCTTGACGTTGATATGTAGAAACATCCCTGAAAATTTCAGACGAATCCCTCAAATGGTTTGGCTGGAAACCTGTAGACAAGCTGAAAAGTGAGACGCCGCCCGCCGCCCACCCGCCCGCCAAGCTGACTACAATATCGTACCTTTTGTTAGGTACGATAAAAAAACATCGCTTCCCCCTAGATCGGAAATTAACGAAATTAGAGCAAATAAACAACACGGTGTCGTAAAATGCGTCGAAGTTGAAACGAAATGGCGTCGACGTTATACCCCTTCGCTCAAGTCCTGATGATTTTGGTTGCATTTGAAATTTTAGTAAAATTTAGTGATCTTTTTGGTCCCCCTGTAGGTCGCAGGTGTAAGTCACGGGTAACATAAACTCCTCGGTATTAGAAATACAGGTTACCCTCATAATGACATTGTTGCAAGGTGTGGTATATGTTATCCCGTATTCTCCGTTCTATATTCTCGACGAAATCATATAGATGTATTTGCATGGGTGTGTATCATATTGATATGGCGGTTATATGTCAAAATGAAAGTTTATTTGATACAACTTCCTTCTCACGTATATACCCGCATCCTTTTGCATGGCAGCGGAAGAAGTAGCAATTCGAAACGAATCAGAACACACGTTCAACTATGAACGAAAAATTTAAAGACCTTCGTTGTCTAACACTGTTGCTTACGCATAATTACACCGGATTATAGCCTGGCAACGGTAAAGTCATTACCGTTGTCACAAATGGCGGACATAACCGTCGCTGAAATACAATATTTCACCGGTTGAGAGTTTTGAATTCATAACATGGTGTTTTGTTGGCAAATATCACTTTTGTTCAGAATAACAAAAGAATTATTTGTGCTAAGTACAAGGGCTTTGTTTAAAAAAACTCCTACCTCATACCCACCTATCCACGTACGTAAGAGAAGGGAGCGAAAGCCCCAGAGTTTAAAGATGACAGACATAATTACCTCTCTTGCTTACTACCTTCGTTCGCCCGAATTTTCATCGGCTAGTTATCAAATATTCCCGCAAATATTACACATCGATGGGATGTTTTAATTGACATAGGCATATTCCGTACACCTTTCCTTATCTTGATGTGAAATGAGAAGCTATGATATTGGTTAACACGCCAGGAATTAACATAATATTATTCGAAGCGTATTTCGAAAACTTTGAAACGGCCATTGATGACGTCATTCGTTTGTCGACTTTTGACCAATCAGCGACGATGTCATCTCAATACAGATTTACATTATAAGCGTATGTCATCTTTGAACCCTGGTGTTTCTCCCCCTCTGCACGTACGTGGGACATGATACAGTCTTTGAAGGGTTCAATTTTAAAGATCTTAGTTTATTCAATCTTGGTTTATGATGAATTATAGATGCATTTGTAACGACCCTTAAAAACAATCCCAGCCGGGTTCGATTCCCACTCGGGGCATCGAATTTAGCACACTTTCTTTCAATTTCTTTATCTGGCTTGTTGGACCTATGCTCGCGATCGTTAGTTATTTATTCCCCTGGGGCGCCCTCGGGTCATTACACATTAAAATGCATCCACATGCCTTTATTTATGGATCTGTCATCCATCTGGTCATAAAATAAAGCTGGAATTGTAGAAATGTTAATAATTAGAGCTATTTTGAGATTTAATAATCTTTAAAATTGAACCCTTCAATGACTGTATAATGTTCAACATAGGTGGATAGGTGGGTATGAGGTAGGAGGTTTTTTATACAAAGCCTAAGTACAAGCTCATAAGAGATTCTAACTGCCATTTTAGTACATCGTTAATCGTTTAGTATGACGGTTAGTTTACATACACTCAATTAGACAACAGCAACGCCAAGGCATATCAGATTCCATCGAACAGTCATGGCTGACAGATTTGGAAATGGATGACAATCTACATTAGTCAAATTGTCATTAGACATTCATTCTTTTTCAGTTAGAGGTCCCATACATAGTTTGGGATATGTTTTCATCATTTATTACTATTTTTCATGACTTTGTTAATAGTTATTTAAGAGATTTTTGAAAAAAAGTTGTCTCTTTTTATATTCACAAATATTTAAATTTCCCGCCAAGTTTTAATGAAAACTCAAATTTTAAAATGCACTCTTTTCTGAACCACTTTCATGCACGGATGAGTTTATTTTCGCGTATTTATCAAGCAATTTTCTTCATGTTTTCGACGATTGTTATGCATTGGTGGGAAGTATTACCTATTAAGAGATACGTGTGGCCTCTAAAATTTAGTTTTCAATAAATTCACAAAAAATCCTTCTTTTCACAAATCACATATTGATAACATTGTTTATGGCTTCAATATTAGCCAAAATCGTTAAAACTTTACATGGGGGCTTTAAACGTAAAATAACGCACACAAAATGGCGACGATTTTACAAAAAAAGTCACTGACTAGCCAAAGTGTCATTGAAAAGTACAATAAGCCTCTTAGTGTTCATATATATTAAGATTTCAACAGTCTCTAGGGAATTATTTTACTTTCTACAAATACAAATCGCATACTTGTGGATAGAGTGGTTTTAAAGCGTAAGCGTAGTAACCTTCTTTGTTTCCATTCGCTAAAACGTAAAAAATAGAAAACGTGTCATAAATTGAACCGATTCCACTTGTCAGGTACGGTGTTACACGTGATCTTTGATTGAATGTCTTAACTGGAGAAATAGTTTAATTAGAGGTATTGCGAACGACTCTCCTCAGTTCACGCAGAACTAAAATACCTGTACCTGACGAGTGGAATCGTTTCCATTAATTAAGTTCCCAAAAGCTATGACAACTTTTCTAGTTTTTAAGTTTTGGCTATAAAGGAAACTAAAATGATCAGTTATGTTCCGTAGTACTGTAAAGTGTAAACAAATCCAGTGCCACGGAATGTTCGTGAGGAAGGGGTGCTATGTTCCATTGCAATACATCCACACGAGTCCGTTGTCAAATCTTACCATGTGTCATTGTCTTGAAATTCAGTTTCCTTTGTCATTGACGATATAGGAAAAACTATATTGTGGCGATTCACGACCACATTTGATCGAAAATTGGGATTTCATCATCTATAATACTTCATAACAAGAGCTTAAAATATGCACAGAACAAGCGACGATAGTCCGATGAAATGAGAACCAGGTGATTAAAGAGTTGGAGCAACGGTTAGGTCTACCGTTTGTGACGAAAGGTAAAGTCTGTGTTTGGGTGTGAAAATGTCATCTGACATTGTGCAAGTTGCATATGTTATGAGTATTCACATATCAAACATGAGCAAAATCGCTCCACTTCTTTTCCGGTTACAGTAAAAATGTAAAATTGCGTGTAACATTACGCCGTGTTTTAAAAAGCATATTTTCAGCTTAATTGATATACTATACATGCTTAGTAATCGTTTGCATTTAAAACATATTACTGTCACAGTTTTATATGTTGTACCTAAAAAAATATAAAATGGCGGACATTTTGCAACAGGCGGCCATTTTTAAAATCGGCTTTGAGCAGATTTTGTAACGGTACTTGGGTTATTGTCCGGACAAACGGACTTACGGCCGACAGAACCGTTGTCTATATCCCCACGAATTGCGTCCGTTGCGTGGGATAATAAACAGCCATTTGTTACAAATGTGGTAACAAAGGCATTATCATTCATTGAGGAATGTATTCAAGCACGTGCATTCCAGCATAAGGACGATTAGTTTAGTTCAGAACGTAAACAAGTGAGATATTTGCGACATCATGTTACAAACTGGCTATTTCTCATTAACATCAGTTTGAACATATTCAATTGACATTCAACGTTTGGCTTAAATATGTTTAGAAATGCTATTGAGTTTTATAAACTACGTGTACTATGGTTTATAACTAAATTCACAAAGGGGGCGTTTATGAGCAAAATGTATAAAATATATCCATCCTTGAAACTAGTACTGATAACGCTCTCAATTTGTATTTCGTATACAATTATATATTACTGGACAATGCCTAGATTCAAAATCAATGATGAACGACATAAAGCCAAAAAGCCTACATGCAGTCTCGAATTCTTGAAAGAATATTTTCTGAAGACGGGAGAATTTTACTCCTCGGGGTCATGGGATGATCGATCCTGGATAGCCAACGACTGCATCCAAGCAGATTTAGATTTACCAACTATGTTGAAGCGCAACAACCTTAGCAGCATTCTGTTCCTTGGGGATTCAACTGCATGGAGATACGCACGTGCATTTGTTAATGTTCTCAAAAAACGATTTACTTGTCATTTGGTTAAACAAGAAGGTAGTGGAAAGGAACCGGATGTGACGTATTTTTCCGACAGTCGTGGCGTATTTCAGGCAGATATGTTAGTTCATTCCCGAGATTGCTATACATGTAAATCATTCATGTACGAATGCAAAAATATTGTAGAATTTAGTCATGTCGGTTCATATGTCATTATAGAGTACGTCAGTATGGAATATTTCATGGATACAGAAATAAGTACGTTACGACTGCCTACCAATAAGAATAAAAACATGTGCCGAACCAGTCATAACACTCAATCGGGCCTAGCGTGTGGTCAATCACCCACATCACAGGAATTTATATTCAATGAATATCTCACACTGAAGCCAAGTGAATCCTATCCACAGCTTATAGCTCTAGTATCAAATTTTCACGAATTAATTATGAGAGATGATGTTTCATTCAGACGTACATTGACCTGGTTTTTGGACCTTGTTTATCAGAGTACAAAATCCCGTCCTGGAAATCGAGTTATGTGGTTTGAACCAACGTTTTTCATTGAATCAAAAAAGAACAGAAATATTGTTAAAAATGCTCAAACTAAAAATCATAGGTTGAATAACATTGCGAAGGAACTATTGATGAAATACTTCAATGAGAACATTCCGATATTTTGGCCATTTTTTGGTGTGATGAATATCAGCAAGGTGGCAACGCCTGAATGGAACATTGATGGAATACATTTTGAAATGATGTATTACGAGTCTATGATCAAACTATTGTTGCAAACGCTGAGTACTTGACCTTGATTAGCCTATAATTTAGGGACGATATTTCCTTTGATATAATCTGTAATAAATTACTAATTCTGCGTTTTTAAATTGCCCTGGTGCTTTACTATTGAATGATTTGGAGTGCAATACAGGATATATTCTGCTCGAGAATTCCGTATTACTTTAAATTTTATTACATAGCATTTTACTCCATCACATTATATTACAGTATTCATATAAACATTTTATTACATTAATTGCACTTCAAATCATTCAATAAAGTTTTTATCGTGTGATCCTCTGTATTGCTACTGAGATTGTCCCCCGTACCAATATTTTCTGTAATTGCGACGGAGATGATCAATGGGGACAATCTCAGTAGCAATACAGGTTGGTGCAACACAAGAACTGACCAATCAGGGGCTTCATTTTATAGATCATACGATAATAGTGTGTATTTTCTTCAAAATAAGTTTTTTATTAAATGTCACGTACAGGTTAACATTGTTATAAGGGAGAATCCTAAGACCCCACTGTTGTTGTAGCCTCATCAGTATCTTCTTCTGCATAACGACATTCACCATTAGCTGAAATGCGAAATGGACGTTAAAATGAAGCCGTAAACAATGACCAAAGGAAAAGACTCGGGGAGAAAACCACAAAAAAGTAATAAAAAGCCCAGTTAGGATAAAGAACATTGACAAGCATTGTGATAGGGAATTCAAAGCGGGTAAACATTTCGACAAATAAATAAAACAACACACGAGAAAACGATGCAACTCCACACTTCCCCAACAATGTTGAGAAATCCGGTTTCGTATATCCTAAAAACGCACTATTTGCAGAATGTTATGAATACTTGTTAAACTGTTTATTTATCGATAATTAAAATTGACTATTTTACATTTCATTAACATTTTATTACATTGCATAACAGAATATTTCAATGTTCTTTAGTTGCATAACACTACATCAAATTACCTTTCATAATATTCCATTACTTTACATTATATTACATAGCATTTTACTCCATCACATTACATAACAGTTCACTTCATATTAAACATTTCATTACAATGGTACTACACTAGTATGTAACATTTGATTTATTGCATTACACTACATAACATTGTATTACATTACATTACATTACGCTACATACATTATAACACTTACCAAGGCACAACTGTACCAAAAGATGAAATCTCGCAAAAACAAGGTCATCAAATGTTACTCCTGGGTCCGTCATGTCGACAAAGTGACACTCAAATGGCTCACTTGATGAGGGTATCCACTCTTCATCTATGCCATTTTTCTTGCCACCCCTATTAGGTAACCCTAACAAGAAAGATGTGTACATGTTGTACATAAGTACAATGTGCTACTGGTGTTCATAGACAGTATGCTAAAAGGTACTGTATATGTATGATTGGTGGTTAATGCATTCAATTGACCATTTTCTATATAAATGGAAAAATAGATGGCAGCAAAGGTATTGTTAGGGCCATGGAAACACATAGCAAGAGTCACTTAATTTCTTGATTTAACAAGTAAATCCATTTGGATTAACGTAAGACACTATTAGAATGTAACTATAAATGGACTCATTGACATGGCGTTTGTGATTTTGATTTAACATTAAAATCGTGATCCTTATAAGAGTAAATGATCTCTTAAAAGTTCTTTTAAAATTGTGTCAATGGGGATTTAGCCCGACCATTTTCAGACAACATGAAAATCTTTAAAATTTGAATAAAGGTAAATAACTATGCAAATCAAAATTATTTTGAAGGAAAATAACACAACAAATAGAAGAAAATGTTGGTCTTTAGTGGTTAAAATGAAGATCTCCTAAAATCTCATTAGACGAGACTTAAACGAGATTTCAAAGGTACGGTATATGGAAAACCTCAATTGAGTGAGATGATTCGAATTGCTTCAAGACTGTGGACCCCCCCCCCCCTCTCCCCCTACTTCACCAACACATCACATCACTTGTGGGGAGGTGTGTAGTACAGTGGGAGGGAGCTCACAAAGGCATGTAGCTGTAGCTAGACTACTGAATAGACCTTTCCAATAAACCCTGACCACTATTTGTGAAGGTATATTTGCTAGATTTATGATGTCATACTTTACAGTCTGCAATGTTTGTAAACAAAATTGAAAGAAGTTTTTGAAAATTAGCAATATTTTAATCCTATTTCTGCACTGAAATTGTAAGAATGACATCATTACCAATAGATGGCATGATTTACTGGATTGGTCTACTAGTATTGCCAATTCTGGAAAGTCTGCTTTTCAATAATAGACAGAAAGGAGTAGACACACATTAACAATTTATACACATTATGCCTATGGTATACTATAATATACTTTTTACCTAAGAAATATAGTTCAACTCCTTCTTTCTTAGCTAATCTTGATTGGTTAACAGTTAGTGGAGAATTGTGCCTGAAAAATAAATCACCGCGAAAATAATTAAAATAAACATGTAAACTATACTGCCAAGAACCCAAAGTTAAATCAGCTTTAGAATTTGGTACCGTCTAACTCGAATATATATGTACACGACTTTGATGAAAATGTTGTGTGCTTTATATATGTATACGACTTTGATGAAAATGTTCGGCGCTTTTCCTGGAACCGCAATGGCAAGATGAATTCCTGAAATGTCATGTCTAGTAATACAGTAGGCTCGAACATGAACATGTTTACAAAAGGTTTCCAGGATTCTCGATTACAAAAAAGCAAGATGTTAATAACAATCCTGCCATTATAATGACGACCATATTCGATGGACATGTGGTGTTAAAATTATTTATGAGCACAATGTTTTAAACGAAACGTTAATATAAGATTCATTATAAAATAAACTAACGTTAAGAATCAAAAATTATACTAAACAGCAATTGTTCACATATAATAACAGAAATGAAAGTATATTTGGTTCTGCACGCTCAAAGGTTCAGGATTTATCAGAAATAGTTATATTTGCACCGTGGGATGGTATCAAATTTGTCATGGTTGAACAATACTGTTGTAATTTGAAATCAACAATTATCAATTTCGAAATCATAATTTATTACCCCACCCCAACCAAAATTAATAAACTTCTTTAACAACTGACAAATGGACACCATATCTTCTAATCCAAAGCACACTAATAGTGTCACTTACCGGGCAGCATATCCTCCGGCATTGTCTTTCAGCAGCCAAGTCTGACCATCAGTGGCAATAATCATTATCTGCTTCGCTAGCCTTCTCCTTTGACTTGCCAATAACATCTGTCTCGCTTCAAAGATTGCTTCATGAGTATGGGTCGCTCTGAAGAAGCCGTGAACAGAATGAGATGAAAACTCTAAAATCAAGTTAGGGGGGCTGTTTGATCCAATGGTGGTTTGTGTTTTCCAAACATTAATGTTAACATGAAATTGAAAGAGTACGCCTATTGGGGAAAACAAATGCCTGGTTAAACAATCAAAATGGCCACCAAAATTCAAAATGGCCAACTAAAAGTTAACCTGCTATATGACCTGATATCATCTGAACAAATGTGAAGTGAATTAAATGAATACTTTTCTTGTAATAGAGATAACACAATAAGGAAACTAATATAAGTCAATAAATGTCAATTGGTGTACATACCTGAGCATATCTTTAAATAATACTGATTCATCGATGAAAACTGAATAACCTCACAATAACTTACGAAAAAAACATTTTTAAAATAACTAAAAATTGATCTACAAAATTAAAAATGGCATTTGTAAAATAACCTTCGAAAGAACTTACAATATAATGACAAAATAACTTACAAAGCATTTCTATTTGGAATAGCGGCGATTTTGGAAAGCACCTGCGTCTTGTTAAGTTTTGCACCAATGCTTGCATGGACAGTTACATTTTGATTATACGAAATCAAACCTATCCGCACGTTCCCCTCTGATATTTGCAAGTGAGAAACCAAATTACGTAGAAACAATTTCGTACGTTTTATGTTTGGTATTGTAATACTGTTGGATCGATCCACGATTAGAACAAGATCTATCTGTCCACAAGACGGTGGTTTGGCTGTAAGAAAAATAAAATATCTCCGTAGTTCATCGGTGTGTTTCAACCTATGACAAGACTGACTAAATTGCAATGAGATTAAAAATGGTAAAGAATTGAAGTGGCACATCTTTATATAGACTTAATACAGTGTGGACAAAAAACGCCACTTTTTTCAAAAGACGACAACTTTTTTATTTTCCAACCTACGTACCCCAAAGTTTGCAGTTATATAGTGCCAAGGGTTCCTAGTAATAATATAATGTAACAAGTCCTTCAATTGGATTATATTTGATCTAAAAGGGGAGTTCAATTGGTCCGCCAACCTAATTGATGATATATTTTAGTCGCCTTGCTGATATAGCAGTATCAATGAAGTGTTAGCTAAGTTTTTTCAACCTTAATTGCCAGCTTTAGTTGAGCAATTTCTAGATTGGATGCCCCAGTTCATACAATCTCCTAGAGGCCTTCCCATACCCTATACTCACTGGGGTTTGCATCGGGGCTATTAGGTTGGCGATCATCAGGCCGTATCAGTTCAGGAACATTTTGCAAATCGTGCTTGTTTCGCATGGCACACCACATGTTTAAGTGAGACACCGGTGACATATTTATTCAAGTGAAAGTGTATAATTCATGACCCATGGCTAGATAACAACCTCAAGTTTCATTTGGTATGCAAATTATGATTTTGTATCAAAAATTAAAATAAGATATAGCATTTTGAAAAAAGTGGCGTTTTTTGGCCCACCCCGTATAAGATATAAAGTTAACCCATCCTCTGTATTTGCCCAGATTTCTCAATTCCTTGTTCTGAAAAATAAAGTTAGAATCGAAAGATTTGTATCGTTCTTCTAATTTCTTAAAACTGTAAAATGGTAAAAGACTGTTGACAGTATAATAAAGTCATGTCGATAAAGTCATTGCTGTAAATATCTACTTAGAAATGGAATGAAAATAAGATTTAGGAATAATTTCACATACGCGTACAGTCAGGCACACCCTTGCACATCTCAGATACAAATTTTACTCCGTCCGATGCTTTAGTCAAACTCATAGGCACTCCTTGATGCATGTTGGCGACATCACTAGGGATATTCAAAGCATTCCACTCAATGTCTCCTATAAATATACAGTTCGACAGAGAACATGCAACAGAAACAGTGATGAAAACCTAAATGAAAGAAAAAAAAAGTAAAAGGATCTGCTGTAAACAAGAGAGTTCTTTAGGAAATGTTACATTTTGACCAGTTGACTGATATGTAAATTCTTTTTAAAATTTGATGACAAAATAATCTAATTACTATAGAAAATTATTTAATTTGGATTGTGTTAAATTATTATGTCATAAGGGCAATTATTAATCATGGGTGCAGCCAGCCTCAATCGGAGGGGGGGGGGTGGTTGTGGCATAACCAACCCAAAAATGTTTTTAAGATGAGTTTTACAAAAAATGATCCAACTTCCTTCAAAATTGAGCTAAAAGCTTCAAGTCAAAAGCATTTAAACCCAATAATGATAACAGATTGAATGCATTAGTACTTTTTAAATAATTTTTATGTTTTTCTAACCTGGGTCACATAACTAAGAAACAATTAGTTTTGGTTCTAGAGGCATCCCAAATACGGGACAAGTGCCCATGATAAGATTTTGGGTTAAGAGGTTATGATTTCGTGGTTGTAAAACCTATTTATAATATCATAACTTTAACAAACATGTAATTTTACACTGTCATTAACTTAAACTTAGTTCTGTTTGTCATATTTCAATACTAAATAGGCAATTGTGGTATTCAAAAGCACGGCAGTGGCCCCATATGATCCGAAAAAGCATCCCAGTGCTCCAAAGTGGCCCCCAAAAGCATTCGAGTGGCCCCCAAAAGCATTCTAGTGGCCCCTGTGGCCTCCCTAAGCATCATCCTAGTGGCCCCCAGATGCCCCAAAAAGCATCCAAATAGCCCCCAGATGCCCCCCCCCCCAAAAAAAAAGAAGCATCATAGTGGCACCATGTGGTCCTCAAAAGCATCCTAGCTGTCCCCAGTGACCCCCAAAAACATCCTAGTGCTGCTATGAGGACCTTAAAAGTATCCTAGTACTCCTCTGTTACCCATGACTTCAACCCAGTGGCCCCCTGTGGCCCCAAAACGTTGCCCAGAAAAGCATCTCAGTGGCCCCAAGTGGCCTCTAAAAGCACTCCAATGGCCCAAAGATCATTCTAGAGGCTCCAAAAGCTTTCAAGTTGCCCCCATTGACCCCCAAAAATCATACTAGTGACACCCAGTGGCCCAAAAAGCATCCAAGTGGCCCCATTATGCCCCTTAAAGATTCTCGCAATCTTTATCCAATCAGCGTTTGCGAGTGTGTCGGCTCACGTATAAAAGGCGAATCCAACTCAAATCCATGCAGGGGTGTATGAGGTACTCGAATAGGAAAGAGCTCGTGAGATCTGAATTTATATGCACATGGTCAATGTTTACACATGTTTTGAGTTATTGAAGAAAATGTGATATGGGTGTGGTTCCGAATTTGAAGTCATTGCTGGAAAATATGATTTTTATACGTGAAATTATATCTATAAATACAGCACTAAAAATAACAGTACACATGAAGTACATGAATGATTGTGTCCAGAAATGTTTGAAACCCTTACAGAAAATTCTGTCTGCATTTTGTCACCATTGCTCTTTCTTCCCGCATTCTAGTGCTGTTTGAATGAATATATTAATTAATGTATTTCTAACTAAAATATATCACATTTTTTTATAAACCACAAACATTTAGATCATAAAAAAATATTCAATACTTGAGTGAGCACGATATGCAAGGGTTACTAAGTTGACACAGTAAATGACCACTGATATTGTGTTAGCACATATGTATTAGCAGAATACGCTGTGTGCATGGACTAACACCCCTCACTTTCATAGTGAAGTGACTAATTGGTTTATGTTTACGTTTTAATGTGCTTTGGGTTCCTTGTTACAGCAAGGGGGGCCAGTAAAGTAGACTAACATGTTTGCATGGCAAATTTTGATCGAATATGTGAGACACTTTAAGAGCATCCTAGTGGCCCTCAAAAGCATCCTATTGACCCCTATGGCCCCAAAAAGCATCTCAGTGGCCCGAAAAGCCACCTGTGGACCCCAAAATCATTCTAATTGCCCCCAGTGGACCTAAAAGCTTCCCACTGCCCCCACCAGTGGCCCCTTAAAAGCATACTAGTGACACCCAGTGGCCCAAAAAAGCATCCAAGACGCCCAACTATGCCCCCTATAAGCATCCTAGTGGCCCCCGAAAGCATCCTGTTGGCCCTCTGTGGTCCCAAAAAGCATCTCAGTGGCCTTTAAAAGCACTTCGATGGGCCCCAAAATCATTCTAGTAGCCCGCAGTGGCCCAAAAAAGGTTCCCATTTGTCGCCCAAGTGGCCCCCAAAAAGCATACTAGTGACACCCAGTGGCCCAAATAGCATTCAAGTGGACCATAGCATAGTGGTTATAGCTAACATAGGCATAGCCAGGGGATGTAATGAGTGCAACCCCCTGTAACCAATAAAAATAGAACCATCCATTAGATAGAATTGTAGAGTTTTAAAATGCATTTGACTCGAAGCTTCTAGTTTCTTCTCAGTTTTGAAGGAAGCTGCATCAATTTTTGTAAAATTAAACAAAATCTTTAACAAAATTTGTGTCGAACCACCCACCCCCACCCACCCCCCACCGAGAGCTTGTAACATTTCCTAAAGAATTCTCTTGTTTACAGCAGATCATTTTACTACTTGCTGTTACCATAGCAACAGCGTGAATTGGACACTTTCATTACATTTATTCTATTTTTTATAACCATACATGTATGAATGTAATAAACTAATAAACTCGAACTTAAAGAAATAAACTAGTTAACTAGTTAAAAGTATTACTGACCATTTTGAAAATAATAATTTCAGAGATTTATACATCATGATTTAAATAAAATACACAAAAACAAACAGTTATGACGTCATAATTAAGATGTTAATTACCTTATTTGCATATTATATGAACTGTATGATTGCTTAATCTATTACCTTTCATTTGGTGCAAATTTCATCGAAATCTGAGCAATAATGACAAAGATATGGGCCAAACACTGAAAAGAGCCCCTAAAAGTGGGTGTGGCATATTTACTTTGTTACTATAGTAACGCTGCCGCGGATTCCGAATTGTAAACTTAATATATTTTGATTGCATTATCTATTACCTTCAGTAATGACCAATGTTTTGGTATTACCTTATACCGTTTAAACCTGCTGGTTGTCATATTTAAAGGTCAATATCTGGATCTGTTTCTGTTTACAATCTACTGACCATGGGAATACATATTCAAGTACACAGTTTTATATTTATTCTATCATACATGCATTTCAAAATCCAACTGTACATAAATATATACTTAATCAACTCTGTCATGGTTTCTCACAGCTGACTATGGTACTATATTCTAAAGTTTGATGGGGGGGGGTATCAAATATCAAATTAGATAGACCAAATGTTCAGGTATTGTACAATACTTTGTACTTAGACATTTGAGAACTGGAACACTAGGTTTGTTTATTTACATTATATTGATCATGAATCGAGGGTTCTACTGTTTGTTTCAACTTATACTGCTATTGCTTCTCACAGAAAAAAAGTATTTAGTCAGAAGTGCAATTGGGGGGGGGGTATTTGAACATGCTTGAATTATTTTCTAGAAGAGGTCAAATTGTAGGGAAGTGCTTCAGATTGTACATATATAATGCATTTTCCTGTATTATCCTGTATACTATATTCATTTTTATTTTACTTGTATATATTGCTTAACTGAATATTGAATTGATATGTATTTTGTGTTTATTGGTGAATTCCTAACTTGACACTTGACTTAATTATAGGTAATAACCTGTGCATATTAATAAACGACACAGAGTCAATACTTTGGCCAAAAACTGGAAGACATAATAATGGTGCAATGATTAACTTAGACTTTGATAATGGCTGAAAATGATATAAATCTTATGGTGCATCTGCCTTTTTTCTCCACTTAGATGACTACTTGGAGGAACATAATTTTGAAAATTTACTTTTTGACCCTAGAACTGATAATGCAATTGGTTCAAATCCAAATGGAACTGAAAACACACCATTAGATATCCATACCCAAAAATTAATGAATTCTTGTAAATACCAGTTTCCTGAAACTGTAAATTCCAATTTGAAATCAAGAAAACACAATGATATGGTTATTGGGTGTGCAAATGTAAGGAGCTTGCCTCATAATTTTTCAAAATTTACCAATTTAAATGTTTTGACTGATAATCAATTTGACATATTTGGTGTTACTGAAATTTGGCTTAAAGTGCCCGATAAAGTATAAAATGCGCATGCGTCCAGGTGTTGATAAACTATAAATAGCGAAAACCCAGGGTTTGTCACCACAAGGTAAGCCAGGACGTGTTGAGAGAACAGCTAGTGTTGATATTGAATTTATATGTAGCCAGATAAGTTTCCTTATTGAAATTACATATGGTTATTAGCAATACTTTGTAGGTGCTAAATAATAAAATATTTAGAGTATATATGAGAGAAATTGGTCATTTCGAACCTGTTGAAAAGTTTGTGGCTCTCGGCTACACCGGGGAATTTACTTCCATGAGTACACATAAATGTGGGGTTCCCCAAGAGGTACGCGACAAGGTGACCTGGCATCAAATGTGCGACTAAATGCTACTATCGAGAACAAATCCAGAAATCTCCGGTCACTTTCTTTATCAGGAGAGCTGTCAACACATCTGATAAGAAGTGTTCTTAGCAGCTCTAGTGAAACTTGATGCTATGTTGGTCTAATACAAGATGCAGCCTACTTGTAAATAAAATACGTTATCCATGTACGTAATATTATGGTTCAACAAAAAACAGCAACTAAAAACAACTAAATATGAGAAACTTATGTGGTATATGCCATGTTTATGTGTCTGATCATATAATCTTCAAATTATCCATCAATTTCTTAAGAAATTGGCGAAATTAAGGAAACCAGAAAACACATTTAATGAAAGGGCGGTGTTTATAGGCTGTATGAAATGCCCCTGCATTAACGCTCACATAT